TAAAGAAAAATGACTCAGCATAGAAAATTAAGTGGAACAAAGAAACTGTGAACAACACACACACACACACACAAACACATCAAAATGACAGCACTAAACTCATACCTATCAATAATTACGCTGAATGTAAATAGACTAAAGGCACCAATAAAGAGACAGAGAGTGGCAGATGGGATTAAAAAAAATGCCAAGTATCCATTATATATAGAATCAGGATCCAGATAACCCCCCACAAGTAGAACAACCTACTAGATCTAACAAGATAAAAGCAACAACAAACAAATGTAGAGTCCAACACTGAGGGTCAAGAAACCACCTGTACACCAAGAGTTGGAAAGTCCTGGTAGATCAATACTGGGCGACAAAGTGATGTGGCTGCCAGAAGTATGAATTCAGGATGAGGCCATATTAATGGGGAGTAGAATCTAGGAAAAGGAAGGTGAAAGTTCTGGTCTATTCCCAACTAGGTACAGTTCCAAGAGTCATATTTTAAGGGAGATGTTGATGAGCTGGTAAGAAGCAAACAGAGGTGAAATGCCACAATGGTGAGTGCTCAGAAGCCTGTCTTGTGAGGAAAAGCTGAAAGAGCTGGGAGTGTTCGTTTGGCCTGGACAGAGAAGAATCAGAGAAGTGAGAGATGCCTTTACAGTTCTGAAGGGGCTCCCGCAAGCTAAGCAGTAGAGCCGGTCAGATGATACGGTGAAATGGAAAAAGCCTGCACCCTCTTCCAGAGTCAGAAACGCTGGATTCAGGCCCTCCATCTACTAGCTATTAGGGACTGAACACTCACTCCTCCAACTGCAACATGTCAGACACAACCAAGGGCTCATTATTGCTTTTCTGTGAGAGCCAGAGGTAGGAAACCACTGGGAGGAGATTTCAGGTCAACCCTGGGAAGAATTTTCTTTGTCTTTCTTTCTTTCTTTTTTTTTTAAATGATATTTATTGTTCTTAACTCTGATCACAAAAGAAATACATAATTATGTAGAATATTGGGAAATAGAAAAGCAAAATTAGATAAAAATAACATCAGCCACTATTAACCTTCTAATATTTATGTATTTAAAAAAAATGCCATCCAGTCAATTCTGACTCATGGTGGCTTCTTGCATTACAGAGCGGAACACTCCCATAGGGTTTTCTTGGCTGTAACCTTTATGGAAGCGGTTCGCCAGGACTTTCTTCTGCAGCATCGCTGGGTGGGTTCAGATTCCCAACCTTTGGGTTAGTGGTTGAGCACAAACCCTTTGCACCACCCAGGGACCTATTTAGTATATATTTATGTACATATGCATGCATGCATATGTATCATGCAAATAATTATCAGAGAGAATTAAGAGTATCAGCATGTAAGGATGTACGTACTGGTATGTACGGATGTCTATTGCAGTATTGTTCTAAGGGGAAAAATAAAAGCTGTAAACCACCTGGTTACCCACGAGTAGGGGAAAGTTTGAGTAAATGACAGCGCATCCACACCATGCAATACTATGCAGCTAGTTGAACGAAGAGGGTGGAGCTAATATGTTTTCTTCAAAATGTTTCCAACACATGTTGTTTAAAACAAAAAAAAGTTACTGAATACTACGTGTAGCATGAACCAATTTTTGTGAAAAATTACATGCACATATATGTTTTTATAAACAAAGAAATGGTGTTAACAGAGGGTGCAACTAAAGGATGGAGCTGGAGAAGTCAAAGGTAAAGCTTGTTCTTTGAACATTTCCGTACTGTTTGAACTGGGTCAATGAGCATATATATATATTTTTATATTTTATCATTTGAATTACTGAAATTTAAATAAATAGACAATAATCTATCCTGGACATTTCTCCATGTCATTAAAGATTCTACATAATTTTTAATGACCATATATATTCCATATATGGATTTCTCTTACTGTATTGACAGGAGCTGACCAAACAGGGACCAGGGGCATTTTGACAGTGTCTGTAGGACCACCATGAGTCAGAACTGACTCATCGGCAATACAAGTCAGACCAGAAAATGTGCAGACCCATAGACCTAACCAGGCCCCAGCTAGGAAATTATCTGATAGGTACGCTAGCGCGTGTGCACAAAGATTTCTGGGCAAGAATGGTCCCTGCCCTATTGCTCCTGCTAGCAGACGGCTGGAACAACATAAGTGTCCATTTACAGGGGACTGGACAAATAAAAATTATAGGCCACTCATATACTGGAAATCTCTACAGTGGATACAATAAATGACATAGAGCTGTAGATATTTACATGAAAATATGCCAGGATATACTGCAAAGTGAAGGGGGGAAAAAAGGAAGTTACACAACAATATGTACAGTATGAACTCATTTCTATTTAAAATGTATACGTGACTGTGTATTAAAAAAGATCCAAAGGATACACACATTAAACAGTAAGTAGGATTTACCTATAGGTAGGTAGGTAGTCAGTGAGTAGGTAGGAGAGTTCCCAGGTGATGCAAGCGATTAACCCAGAGGTGCCTCGGAAGAAAGGCCTGGTAATCTACTTCCAAAAAATTAGCCATAGAAAACCCTATGGAGCACGGTTCTACTCTGACACATAAGGGGTCTCCATGAGTTGAAATCGACTGGAAGGCAAGTGGTTTTGTAGGCAGGTAGATAAGTATGTATGTGCGGTAAGTATACATAAAGGCAGTGAGCTCCCCATCCCACGAGGTATGCAAACAAGAGGCTGGCTGCCCCATTTTCGGGGATGATGCAGAAAGGATTTTCACATGGGCTCAGAGGTGACCTCCAGTTCCCTCTAGCCCTGAGAATCTCTGAGAGAGGGAAGATCAGGACTGGTAGAAGAGTACACCCCTAAGGGGAAAGGGTTAAGCGGAGTTGGCGCTCCTGTGGGCGGGCTCGGCGATCGGCAGCGCCGAGCTCTGTTAGCCAAGTCTGAGCATCTCGGAGGATGCGGCGCGGCAAGCGGCTGCAGGGACGCGCGCAAGGTGAACGCGGGGGCTGCGGGCGCGGAGAGGCGCCCAGGTGAGGACCTGGCCGAGGGAGGGGGCGATGGCAGGGCCGCGGCAGGGAGCGTGGCCTGCTGCCCCCGTCGTGGGCGCGGGCGGCGGGGCCTACACAGTTCCCACCCCCACCCAGGACACTGCGGGAAAGCGCGGAGCCAGGGACGAGGAGACGGAGGAGGAGAGGTAACCGGAGATGGGCCAGCTCCTGGAGGCAGCCTGCAGCCGCCCTGCCCTATTCCCAGGCCGGCTTCTCCCAGCCCATGCGGCAGGGAGCTCCCTTCCCCCCAGAATCTCTCCAGGAGTGGGCGTGCAGGGCTGGGCGAGTCCCCTCCTTGTCCGCAGGAGCCCACATCTGTTGGGTTGCGGATGGTGGTCGGATGGCATATGCTCATCACTGAAGGCACAACTCAACTCTCTCCTCTTGAAAGCCTTCCGGACCCACGCCGGGTTTCCACAACCCCAAGTATGTCCATCCCTGGCTTCGTGACCTTGGGCGAGTTGCTTAACCTCTCTGAACCTCACTTTCCTTCCCTGTGAAACGGGTATAACTACACCTGCTTGTGTTGGAGGGGTTAAATGGGATAAAGATTATGCAGCTAAACTTAGCACAGGAGCCTAACCTGGTGAGAGCTCAACACAGAAGGAACACTATTATTAACTAGTACCTGTGTTAGGGGCCTCTCTGTCCTTCCCCCTCAGCTCACCTCCACTCCCAACCCTGGAGCTGAGACCTCTTTATGGGTTCCCAGCACCCAGCCTGGGGCCAGGAGCAGAGTGTGGGGGCTTGGGCTTGGTGAATGTTTGAGAAATGAGCCACCGGGGCTTTAAGGCAGAGTCTAAACTTGGGTTTTGGGGATGTGAACCCCTTGAAACTGTCCACAACCTTCAGTGAGCCTGGGCATTTTCCTGGAGTGTTCACCAGCTTGTCAAAGGATCTGTAAGCCACCAAGGGTTAGGAGCCAGGGAGCTGGGGGGACAGCTGCTTCTTAGAGCAGAAGGGAACAGGGCCTCTGCCCCCAAACACACCCAGGTTTTAGCTCTCGGAGCTGCTGTCCCCCTCTCCTGGCCGCAGGGCCCCTTCCTGCCTCCCTGGCCCAGGGACTCTCAGGAACATCCACCTGGGGCCAGGCACGTGCAGCCTGGTGTGTAGCCTTGGAAGGCAGGGGACTGGAGATAAGAAACAAAAGATGCAAACCCAGCCCTGGGGGAGCCCCAGATCAGTGGGGGAGATAGGAGATTATAACACAGGGTGACCAGTACCCAGGGGGGTCATGGATGGAAGGCTTCCTGGAGGAGGTGATGTCTAAACTGAAACACCAAAAAACCAAACCCACTGCCGTCAATTCCAACTCTTAGCAACCCTGTAACACAGAGTAGAACTGCCCTATAGGGTTTCCAAGGCTGTAAATCTTTACAGAAGCAGACTGCCACATCTTTCTCTTGCAGAACAGCTGGCAGATTGGAACTGCTGACCTTTTGGTTAGTGGCCAAGCGCTTTAACCACTGTGCCACCAGGGCTCCTAAGCTGAAACAAACCACCATCATATCTTACCTGGGTATGTGCAGGGGCCTCTTTCCCCTTTTTAAAACACTAATCACTGATCAGACCCTGTCATTGATTGCCTAACAATGGCTCCCTGTGGCACTTAAAATAAAATGCAAGTACCTTACCGTGGCCTGTAAGACCCCTTGTGATCTAGCCCTCAGCTTCCTTCCTGACTTCATCTCCCTCTGCTACTTTCACCTTCATTTGCTGTGCTTCAGCCACACAAAACCAAAAAAACCAAACTCGTTGCCTTCAAGCTGATTCTGACTCATAGCCACCACTAGTCTTATTTCTTGAACTCGTCCAGCACATTCCTGCCCCAGGGCCTTTGCACTTGCTGTTCCTGCTGCCAAATGCTTTCCCCTCATATCTTCAAGTGGCCAGCTACTTCTTATCATTCAGCATTTAGCTTAAGTGTCACCTCAGAGAGGACTTCCTGGCACCCTTTTTGTAAATTAGCCCTTCATCCCTCTATCTCTTAACATTTAAGTCTTATAAGAGCCCCACTTGAGTTAGGTTCTCTTATTATCCCCATTTTATAGATGGGAAAACCGCAATGCAGAGAGGTAAAGTCCCCCAGGAAATGGTGAAGCTGGGATTCAAACCCAGGTCCCTTCTCAAATGCAGGAGCATGTTCCTCTCCCCCTCCACCTCAGTGATGTTTGAGCTGGGCCTTCAAGAACAGGATTTCAGCCAGTGAAGAAGGAAAGGGGAGAGGGCATTCCAGGCTGAGGGAACAGCAGGAGCAAAGGCTTGTGGCATCAGATAGTCCAGTGGGTGTCGGAGAGGATAAGTGAGCAGCCTGGCATGGCCATGGAAGGCTAGGAGAGGACCTTATATTCTCTCCCAAGGGCGATGGCACGCCGTGGAAGGTTTTGAAGCAGGGCAAGTGGCATGACCAGAGAGGTACAGTTTTAGCAGGTCACTCTGGGTAGATGGAGCAGGAAGAAAGGGGGTAGGGCAGAGGGAGGAGCTGCTGCCTTGTGTTGGTCTTCTGCCTTCCCCGCCAGCCCCTTTGGGGCAGCCATGGGAGCCTCCACCCTCACATGTTATCCCTTCTCTCCTTTTTTAGGCTCATCCAGTGAGGACTGGACTTGAGGGCTCCAGGCCCAGGCATTGATGTGGACCATGACCCCCTGCATGTGTGGCCTTCTGCTACTGTTGCTGCTGCCACTCCTGGGGGCTGGCCCTGTCCTGGGCAGGGACCTTTCCAAGCCTCTTGAGGACTCAGAACCACACCTGATCCCAGGAGCTCACCCCAAGGGCCCTGTGGGCACAAAGCCCCAGGCCCTTGACATCCTCTGGGAGAACCCCAGAGATGAGCGCTTCTGGAACTCTGGTGTCCCCCAGACCTCAGCCAAAGAGGTGCCTGAGAGGCCTGCAGATGCTCCCCTTGGCCCAGCCCTGCATGGGCCCAAAGCAGCCCACGGGGCTCAGAGAGAAGGACTTCCAGTCACTGGTGACCTCCAGATGGCTCGAGGGCCAAGTTCCCAGGGCTGGACAGGGCCCCCTGATGCCCAGGAGCTTCTGGAGCAAGAAGCACTGGCCCCCCATCCAATGGGGCCTCCCCATTTGACTTTCATTCCCACAACTCCCAGACTGCAGCTCGGGGTAGCCACAGTTCCACCCTTCCCAGGGGAGCCTGCAGGCCAGGCAGGGCAGCAACCACCTAGAGATGAGGGTCTGATGGCCGAGGCCAAGATCAGGGTTCCAGAGACTTCCCCCTCAGAACACCAGGGCCCTCCCGACACTCTTGGGCCCCACGGGGGCACTGTCAGAAGGCCAGTCCTGACAGAACAGGGTGGGGATGCGGAAGACTTCCAGGAGGCAGCTGGAGGCCCCCTCGTCACCCAGCAGGATCCAGCAGCCCCTGATGTTGGCTCAGTGTCCCCAGTTGAGGGGGCATCCTCTCAGGATCCTGGAGCGCAGCCAGACGTGGCATTGGCCAGAAGCCTTCCTCCTGCTGAGGAGCTGCCAGTCGAGCCCCCCGAGAAGGCTAGTGCTGGGAACAACCAGGAAGTCAGCCTCTCAGTGCCCCCACCCAAGCAGGCTGACCTCCCTGATGCTGAGAGTTCACCAGAACACCAGCCCTCCGGCCCCCCAGCCTCAGAGGCTCCTGATGGACAGCCCAAGCCAAGTGAGTCTCAAAGGGAGGGTGCTGAGCAGGGCTGGGAGGGGGCAGTGTTCCAAGGCAGCTGGATGCCCGAGTTTCTTTGTGACCTCTGGTCCCTCTGGGTCTCATTTTCTTCATTCTGACAAATGAGGGTACTTGTGTCTCCTTCCTAGGGGATCAGATTTTGGGGACTGGTGGAGGGCCAGGCAGGGTAATAACTGCTTTTGTCATTTCAGAGATAGCAGCAATGAATGGAGCAGACCCCATCTCCCCTCAGCGGGTGAGAGGGGCAGTGGAGACCCCAGGCACCCCCAAATCCCTCATCCCTGGCTCCTCGGACCCTGGCCCAGCTACAAATCAAACAGAGAGCCCTGTGGGAGCTCCGCAGCCAGGTGAGGGCATGGCTGGGGGTTTGGGGAGAGGGAGTACTGTGTCCAGTAACGAAGAGCCTATGTGAGTTGTTTATGTGGGAGCAGGGAGCAGTAAATGAGGACACACACCTGCTTAGAGGAATTGGCCAGGATCTCCTTCAAACGCTTTAGGATAATGAACGAATTCTCACTGGGTACTTCGGGATGGCACAGGATCGGGCAGTGTCTCGTTCTGTTGCTCATAGGGTCACTGAGTCGGAACCGACTTGATGGCACCTAACAACAACTTTGGGAAAGGTCATTTGCCGTTTGGGGGCTAGAATGTTCTTATATGTAACATGGGTATATTTAGTGCAGTGATTCTCTACCCCCACAAATCCCTGGAGGAGCTTTTTAAAAAATTCCAGTGCCCAGATCCCATCCCAAGAAAGTCTGATTCAGTTGGTCTCCAGGTGATTCTAATATGCAGCCATGTTGAAAACTGCTGTGTACTACTTCCCTGTAAGTATTATTAATAAAAACGATAGCTCACATCCATTTAGCACTTATTGGGTGTTGGGCACTACGCTAAACATTTAATCCTCACCACAACCTAATGAGGCAGGTGCTGTTATCCCCATTTTACAGATGTGCTTAGAAACGTTAACTTGCCCATCACACAGCTAGAGAATGATGGGAAATCAAAAGCACTTTTCAAAGGGCTGTTTTAATATTGTTATTGTTGCAGATGAAGCTGAGGAGTGGCCAGGGCGCCCCCAAAGCCATCCCCCAGCACCCCCAGTCCAGGCCCCCTCGACGTCCCGCCGGGGCCTCATTCGGGTCACCACGCAGCGAGCCCTGGCCCAGCCACCCCCTCCAGAGCCCTCAGCCAGCTCCATGGCATCAATCCCAGCCTCCAGTCCCCCAGCCAACGTCACCGCACCCCCCCTGCGCTGGGGGCCCCTGCGGCGGGTGCTGAGCTTTTCCTGGGAGCTGCACGTCTACGGGGTGGGGGCGCTTTTCCTGCTTCCAGCGTCGTTGGCACTGGCCCCGCTGGCAGCCGCCCCGGCAGGACCCCGTCTAGCACTGGTGGCAGCAGTGCTGGTGCTAGTGGCGTCGGGTCTACGATCAGCCTATATGTTCACCGACCCATACGGCTCACAGGCGCGGCTGGGTGTGCGCGCTGGCCTAGTGCTTTACAATCTGCCCTTCCCCTTGCTGCTCGCGGCGCTGGCGGCCTTGACCCTGCTCGGCCTGGGTGCTGGGCTGCCACCGCCGCTGCAGAACCCTCTCCTGTTGGGAGCGTTGGCGTCGGCTCACTGCGTGGGGCTGCTGGCTGCAGACCTTCTGTTGGCGAGGCCTGCGCTCAACCTCCTGATGCAGGGCTTATCATGCGCCTGGGGCGCGACCGTGGCTCTGGGCACACTCTGCCTGTGCCGGCGCCGCCTGCTGGGTCGGCCGCAGGGCTGGAACGCCAGCCCGGGACCGCGACTGCTGGCCGTGGCGGGTGCGCTGGGGCTGCTGGCCAGCGGCTTGCAGCTGGCGGCCGCGTTGTGGCTATATCCGGGCCCAGGCCGGGTGGGCCGCTTCTCATGGGCCTGGTGGGGTGTCCACTTCTGGCTGCGCTTGCTGGAGCTAACGTGGGCGCTGGCCCTGGCGCTGGCCGCTATGGCTGCCGCGCGGCCCAGGCCCCCTACGGAGCACGCTTGCTGGGCCAAGCTGCTGCGCCTGGCGTGCCCTGCGCCGTCGGGAAAGAGTGAGGTGCCCGAGCGACCCAATAACTGCTTCGCGGGACCTAGTGGCGTCGGCACAGGCAGCCTGGACATCAGCAAGAGCCTCATCCGAAACCCAGCGGAGGGTGGACTCCCTGCCACGTCCAATTCTGGCGCCTGGGGTTCTGCTGCATCACTGGGCCGTCGTCCCCAGGCTGGCCCGGGACCGTCCCGCAGCAGTGTGGGGCCGGCACCATCGCTGAGCGAGCTGGACCTCCGGCCACCATCCCCCATCAACCTGAGCCGCAGCATCGACGCAGCGCTCTTCCGAGAGCACTTGGTGCGAGATAGCGTATTCCGGCGCTGCGGACTGCGCGGCCTGCTCTCCCCGCAGCCTGGGGGAGCTCTGCGGCCGCGCCGGAGCAGCCATCCGGACGCTGAGCTCGAAGGCGCGGGCTCTTCTCTCCTCCACGGCCGCTGCCGGTCGCTCAGCGACGTGCGCGTGCGCGGGCGGGTCCCACAGCACGTCGTGGACGAGGCCGACCGTACAGCCGCGGCGGCTTCAGGCAGCTCCCTGGAGAGCTTCTCCCGGGGTTCGCTCAAGATCAGCTGGAACCCATGGCGCCACGGGCTGTCAGTGGACAGCCTGCCACTAGACGAGCTGCCCAGCACGGTGCAGCTACTGCCTGCCCCGTCCTCTGCGCCTGTCCCTGCCCTGGCTCGGCCCGGAGAGCCCCAGAGAGAGGCCCAGCCGGGCTGCAAGCCCGGGGACTCCCGCAGCGCCTCCAGTGATACTATAGAGCTCTGAGGAGTGCGGTGAAGCAGGATCAGGACCCTCTCCTGGATGGCAGCACGGCTCGGCCACTCAAACATTTCAGCGTTTGAAAAACTGACATTCCCGGGCCTTCACTGGACTGCAGCTCCCGGAAATAGCCGAGAGTGAACCCACCCCACCTCCTTTTTTTTTTTTTTTAAACATATCTCTATTTTTTTCAGCGGGTATTTTGCACAAAGGCCGCGACTTGCATGGAATACAGGGTGGAAGTGCACGAACTTGGGTATGAGAGAGAGGGACCAGGTTCCCCAATGTGGAGAGATGAGGCTTGCTTGTCCACAGACTGTGCTCTTTGTGCCAAAGAAATAAACCCTTAGGACTTGGCTCATGCCTCCCTCTAGCCACACCAGGATCCTGCACTCCCCAGCAGAGGAGGGGAAGGACCTCCCCCATCCCCAATAACTCCAAGTCCTGTGTATGTCAGGGAGGGAATGACTTCCAGAGGAAAGGGCACTGGACCCTTGGAGGCTTTAGTAATAACGCTGCCAACATTATTGAACATCTACGATCTGTTGTACACTGGCTACAGCTCTTTACATTTGTAATCTCATTTAATTCTCATATTAAGCCTGGGTGGAAAGCATTATCATGCCCATTTTACAGATGAGAAGAGTGGTGTTCAGAGGTGAAAGTCATTTGTCCAGGATCCTTCAGCAAATGGCAAAGCTGCTACTGAATCCAGAAAGTTCAGTTCCTAAGCCTGGTTCCTCCATCCCCCTTCTAACACTGCTTCAGGGCCAAGCCTCTCCTTGATCCTTCCTTAAGTCCTCCCCCATCAGGGCAGCCCTCAATTTCCCAGGGTTCTAGAAAACCTCCCCAAACCTCCTGGGGGAGGGATGGAACAGGAGAGTGTGTGTAGGGGTGAGGGGAGCAGGTAGTAAGGCTGAAGCTTCTCCATTTTCCAAGACCTTTCTTTATTTCCTGAGATGAATAAATAAATCAGTGGCTGAGGGGAGGGTGAGTAGGAACAGGAGCTGGCAGCATGCAGCAGGCAGGAGGGGCTGCAATGACCCCACCCCTGCCTAGACCCCACCCTGCATCCTGGGCAGGGGCCGAAGCTCACTAGCAGCCACCATAAATAAGGAGAAACTTCTTTTAAAAAATTCACACGCAATGTGAAGCCTGCCCAGCCCTGCAGGCCGAGATCTCACGGCACCCACCCTCAGGCTACTTGTTCATCCCAGGGGCCTCACCTGCTCAGGCCTGGGTGTTAGGGCTGCCCCAGAAGGCAGGCAGGGGGTGCTAACCCCACTCTCAAAAATAAACCCAGTGGCCTGTAGTGTCCAGGTAGGAGAGAGGCCTGACCCTTGGGGGCAGCCCACGTGGAAAGATACTGTAGGTGGCAGCAGGGATTATCTGCCCTTGATGAAGCCCTCCAGCACTCGGTCACTGCGCTCGGACAACCAGTAGCCAGTCATGGCAGCCACAGCCCCGATGAAGATGGCAGTGAAGACCAAGTCGCCCTTGGCAGCCAGCGTGGCCAGTGCACAGATGATGACACCGAAAAACATCTGCTGCAGCACCACCAGCTCGTCCTCTGTCATCTCCGAGAAGAAGCCTGCCGACTCTGCAGAGGAACAAGAGCTGCCGTCTGTCACTCCTACCACGGTTCCTGGCATTGCCAGAGCTTCCCAGGGCTCCCACACACCTGACCTTCACTGCTGCCATGCCTGCCCAGCACACCGGGCACACACATCATTCATTGCTCAGAACAACTCTGCAAGGGGCACTTATAATCCCTGCCTAAATCAGTGCGAAACAGGCTCAGAGAGGTGAAGGGGTTTGCCCCAGGCCATATAGCTGGCAACTCAGAGCAGAGCTGGTTTCGAACCCCAGCTCTGCAACCTGCTCACTACTTGGCCCTGGGCAAGGTGCTTCACCTCTGTGTGTCTTAGTTTCCTCAGATGTAAAACTGGGATAAGAATAATACCTACCACATCAGGTTGTTGGAGGGATTAAATATGTTAACGCATGTAAAGTGCTTGGGACGGTATCTGACACCCAGGAAGAAGCATGGAAATGGTAGCTATCATCATCATTGGTCTCGCCACATTCCAGTGCCTACAGCGGTTCTCCGCGGGAAGGACCAGGGCAGGGACTGGTCCCACTGACAGATGAGGAAACAGGCTTGGGGAGGTAGAGGGATTGATGCCAAGTCCAATTCTCTTTCTACCCTGGGATGCAAGCACACTAAAATCCAGCCTAGAGATCAGCTGGAAGGGGCTGGTCTCAGTGTTGTCTCTGGATGCCGTGGGGGTGGGGCAGGCCTGTAGCTACCTGGAGGAGGGGCTTGCCTGCCCTCCCCCTCAGTGAGGCTCTCCCCTCCTGGGAGGTCTCTGGAGACCAGGATGAGCTCACCCGGGATCTGCTCCTTCACGCAGATGCCCTCCATCTGTTTGTAGCCCTCAGCACAGACGCAGCGGTAACCACCCTCAGTGTTCTCGCACTGCTCGTTAGCTCCTGGGCACACCTCTGTCTCGCACTCGTCCACATCTTGAGGGAGGGGGAGAAGGGGTCAGACTCCTGAGCACCCTGACTCCATCTCACTCACATCCTGACACTCACTGCCTTCTGCCTGTGCCCAGGCAGCACTGCCCCCCTTCTTCCCCTCCATGCCCATCTTCCAGCCCCCTCCCAATCCACGGTGGGAAAGGCTGCCAGCAGCAGGAGACTCACCGAGACACTTGGAGCCCACCTGCTGGTAGCCAGGGCTGCACTTCTTACAGCGGCCGGGGCCTGCCCCCATGCAACCCAGGCAGGCCTTGGCACAGTCTGAGGAGGACAGGAGAGAAGAGAGTGAGAGCCGCCCCTAGGCCCAGGGGAGAGGTGCTCTCAAAGAGGAGGCCTGGGGGGGGCTTTGGCGCCTGAGGAGGCAGAAGTTTTGGCGGACAGGCACGGAGGAGCTCCAACTCTCTCCACACCCCCTCTGCAGGGTGGACACTGACCTCGGCACTCATAGGAGCCCTCTGTGTTCACGCAGAACTGGTTGGCTCCACAGCTGGCTCGCTCTGTGCCACACTCATCGATGTCTGCAGCCAGCCGGGTAGGGGGCGAGAAGAGGGGGAAGATTTCAATCCTTAAGTTACTAGCAGGGAAGCTGAGGCCAGGGAAGGCAGGGAACAGATTTGCCCAGGATTTAGTGGTGTGGCAGAGACAGCAAGCTGTCCACCAACACAGAAGCAGCACTGCAGCTGGTCTCAGGGCTGCCAGCTAGAGAGTACATTTCCAACCTGCTGTGCAGCTAAGGGTGGCCATGTAGGAGTGGGTTCTGGCCATCAGAATGTAAACAGAAGTGATGTGTCACAGTTTTCGCTTGGCCTTAAAGCAATAGGCTTGACTCCTCCATGTTTCCGTCCCCTCCTCACTTCCTGAATGCTGGAACATGGAACATGGAGGTGCCCACGACCCAGCCTCAACCATGCTACCAACACCCAAGGGGATGACTGAGCAGTAAGAGAGGAGGAACCTGGATCTGTGAAGGATTGTGGCAAGCAGATCTTCCCTGCCAGCCTGGACCACTCACTCTGGGACTGTGACATGAGAAAAAAATAAAGCTCTCTATTTTTTAAGCCACAATCTTTTGGGAATCTTTTTGTTACAGCAGCTTAGCCTTTTACCCTAGTCTACATGAGTGGACAAAACCAAGACTTGAACCCAGGTTTCCTGATCCCAAGTTCAGCATCCTCGTTCCCCTAGCAAATGCCTCAATTTTCAAGACTTGGCCCAAGTGACACCTCCTCCAAGAAGCTCTTCCTGATTCCCCAGCAGCCCCACCTTTGAGCTGGACCAGGCACATCTCTCACTGCACACAGATCAGTCTGTACTTTAAGTGCCTGGCCACTTTTCTGCCTTCCCACCCAGACCCAGACTGAGCTCTCCATGAAGATGGGGATGGTGCTGGTCTAGCCAGGGACGTGTGTTGCGGGAATGTGGGCCAAGCCTGGGTCCCTAGGGGCCTATCCTCCCCAGACCCAGGGCAGGGACCCACTCACCTACACACTTGAGGTGATGCAGGGCCCAGCCCTTTCTGCATTGCAAACAGTTTGATTCCTCAGGTCCCGAGCAGCGGGCACAGGGGCCAAAACAAGCTGGGTGGAATGGGAGCAGTATGAGGAGGGGCAGGCAGGCAGGCACCACCCCTGCCCCTGCCCAGCACCACACCCCTTTGGCTACCTACCCAAACATACCAGATGGCTGGAGTTGCGCTCTGCCTCAAAGTAGCCGAGCCCACACTGGCCGCAGGCCTCACCCCCGTAGCTGGCTTGGCAGTCGCAGCGCCCGCTGCCCCCTCGGGTCCCTTCCCCTTCACACTTCCCGTAGCCACTGCAGGGCTTCTCTGCACCCCCAGGACAAGCTGTGGGCAGGTAACAAATTGGGTGAGCTTATGTACCACTTTGGATACAGAGAACATTTTCCCGATATTGTTAAACATCCTTGGAGAGGAAACTTAATTTTAATGACAACAGACTTTGCCAAAGAACTCTGAAATTTACTTAACCAATCCCCTATTATGGCAAAATTAGGTTATTTACAGATCTTTTTTTTTTTTTTTTTAAATAAAAGACTGGATTGACCATCTTTGTAGTTAACTCTATCTGCAGCTTCAGAGAGATTTTCTTCAAAAGGGTCGGTAGTAAGTTAGCTCTTCCTGCCTGAGGACTGTGTAGGGATGGGTGGTGACAGTGGGGGCTTTGGGGCAGCACCTGCCCCTCCTTAGGAAGGTAGCCAGGGCATGGGGCCTGGTCGATCCAGGCACTGGAAATGAGGGGCTACGAGGCCAGCATTTCCCTAATAAATGATAACCACAGCTGCATCGGACTCAATCCAATCCATGCCTTTTTTCAAAACATTCCCTCACTGATTTGCAGGTGAGAACTGATCTGAGGCAGGCGAGAAATGAGTCCAGAGAGGTGATCTACGCAGCCTCAGATCACACAGCCCGCTCAGGGAAAGCGAGGACTGGGTCTCTAGCCTCGGCAGTCCCCTCCCATGCCTCCCATCTACAAGAGGAACTTGAGAAACTCACGAAGACAGGAGGGCCCAAAGGTGCCTGAGGGGCAGCAGAGCTTCAGGGAATCTGAGCAGAGCCATTGGAAGAGGTCTGGGGCTTCCTGCTGCCTGAGACAGGGGCAGGATGGGGGTGGTGGGGACATAGTGTCAGGACTGCTGTCCCCGCTACCCTAACCCTACTTCACCCCTGCCATCAGCCTCCCACGAATCTGTGATACAACCCATCTTGGACACAAGACCCTTAGGGCCACCTGACCAATGCCCTTTTCCCATGTGGCAGAGAGGTAAACTGAGGCTCAGAGTAGAAGCTTGGGTGTCCAGCAAGTCCTCAGCAGACCTGGGTTTGGAAGAAACCAAAACAGGGCATGCCCCCCAGTATGCAATCCCCTGCCCCTTGGCCAAGCCAAAGCCTTACCACCCAGTCCTACCTGTGGCCCCCTCCCAGGGAAGGGTCCCCACACCACTCACTTGTGAAACCACCAGGTCTCTACCAGCTCCTCACTCAGCTCCAGCAGGCGGTGACACTCGAAGTCCGACTTGCTGCACACGCCCTCCAGCACCTCTACCAGGCGGGTCTCACTGACCGGACAGGACGAGATGGTGGGAGCGGTGCTCTACCCCACCCGCCACCCTCCTCAGGCCTCCTCCCCCAGTTCTCCTTGTGTCCATGATGATGCCAACGAGGCCACGGGGCATAACAAAAGGAATACTGGTTTTGGGAGTCAGACAGACCTGGCTTCAAGTCACTTAACTTCTCTGAACCTCTGTTTTCTCATCTGTAAAGCGGGGACAACGATACCTCCCCTGCAGGTTTGTTACAAGTGCCTAAGTTCCCTACATCTGTACAATGGACTATAATACCCTTGCTGGGTAGATGTGATTAAAAATATATCATGTAACAAGTGCTGGCAAGCATGTGGAGAAATTGGAATCCTCGTGCATTGTGGGTGGGAATGTAAAATGGCGCAGCTGCTGTGGAAAACAAGTTTGGCGGCTCCTCAAAAAGTCAAACATAGAGTTACCATATGACCCAGCAATTCCACTCCAGGGTATATACCAAAGTAATTAAAAACAGGTGTTCAAAAAAAACCTGTACATGAATGTTCACAGCAGCACTGTTCACAACAGACAAATGGAAAAAACAACTCAACTGTCCATCAACTGATGAATGAATAAACAAAATGTGATATATCCATACGACAGAAAACAATTCACCTTAAAAAGGAATGAAATTCTGATACATGCTACCATGTGGATGAACCTTAAAAATAGTATGCTGAGTGAAAGAAGCCAGACACAAAAGGCCACATACTGCATGGTTCCACTTATGTGAAATACCAGAGTCTGCAAATCCATAAAGACAGGAAGTAGATACGCACTTACCAGGAGCTAGGGGAACCGGGAAATGGGGAGTGACTGCTTAATGGGGGGTTTCCTTTTGGGGTGATGAAAAGATTCTGAACTAGATAGTAGTGATGGCTGCACAACATTGTGAATGTTCTAAATGTGTCTAATGGTAAATTTTATGCTATGTGTATTTTACCACAATTAAAAAATACATATACATCATGTACTATATCACATATTTAAGGGTTGGGCACAGTGATTGGCATATAGGAGGGAAGTGATTTTAAAAAAACAAAAACAAATGAGAGCTGTGACAGAGCTGGAGATCCTCTTAGGGTTATTTTGGCCAATCCCTTCATTCCCAAATGAGGAAAACTGAGCTTCACCGAGGGAAAGAAAAATGACCGATGTCACAGAATCTCAAAATCTTTCATTTCTAGTGGGTATCACGGTTTAATGCTTACCACAATCCTATGATACAAACAGATATTAGTATCCCCATTTTACAGGTGAAGAAACTGAGGCTCAGAAAGGTTAAGTGGCCTGCCCTAGGTCAGAAAGCTAGTGGATCAGAACTGGCAACCAAGTCTGTATAACTCCAACTCTTTGCTAACTCCTTCTCCTCAACTTGACTTCTGAAAGCTGGAGGGCCTAGGGCTCAGGCCTCGTCTCAACACTCTCCACAGGATCTCATCCTGCCCCAAGGCTTCAAGTACTGACTATATGCTGACAACTCTAAATACCTATCTCCAGTTCCCACTTCTCTTCTGAACTCCAGATTCCTAAATCTAACTCCATTTGGATGTCTTATAGACATCTCAACCCAACATGTTCAAAGAGAAGTGCTGATGCTTCCCCTCTCCCACCCTTTTCCTTCCCCAGTCTTACCCATCTCAGGAAGCAGCCCCCCTATTCACCCAGCTGCTCAGCTCCAAAACCTAGTAGAATCTTTTATTCTACTTTCTCTCTCATATCCCACAATGAATCCATCATCAAGTTCTATTGGTTCTACTTGCAAAATATACCCAGAATTTGACTCCTTTTCACCATGTCCACCACCAGCGACCACACTAGTTCATGCTGCCTTCATGCCTAGACTATGCAATAGCCTCACAACTGGTCTCCTTCTTCCTACACCCCGGGCACAGTCAGTCTGTTCATCACATAGCACTGTGAGTGACCTTTTAAAGACATAAGTAAGGACACAAAACTCCCTCGCTCAAAACCCTCCAATGGCTTCCTACTACCCTCAGAACAAAATCTACACTCTTTTCTGTAGCCCTCAAGGCCAGTTTGACCTGGCCCTGGGCCTCTGCCTTCATCTTCTACCACTCCCTTTTGCTCACTCCACTCCAGCCACTCCTCAAATACCCCAAGCTCAGTCCTACCCTCTGTCCAAATCCCTTGTCTGACTGTCACATAGCTTGCTTCTTCACTTTAGGCCTCTGTTCAAACGTCACACCATCTCAGAGAGGCCCTCCTTTGAACACTTTAGCTAAAACACCATGCCTCCCCATAGTCCTGTTGTCCCTTACCCTGCTTGACTATTCTTCATCTAATATAACATTATTTAGTTATTCACTGTCTCTTCTACACGAATGTCACCTCCATGAAGATGGGACCTTGTTCACCTTGCTGACTGCTGTACTACAGATGTTCAGTAAATATTTGTTGGATGACTAAGTGCTCCCCAAGAGTTCCTAACCAACAGAGCCGAGATTGGGAGGCAGGGTGTGCAACTCTCCCTGCCCCCTCATCAACCCCTTACCTATCTTTGTATTTGGACAACTTCTCTTCCTCCCATGCAGTGTTTCCACCTCCAAAGTTGTCCCGGGTGGTCCTCTCCAGGCCCTGGAGACAGAGAAAATTAGTAATAGCTAAGTATATGCCTGCTGCATTGTAGATCTTCACTTCACACCTTTTATTATCACTATTTTACTGACGAGAAGAACAATGAAGCACAGGGAGGCAACCTGCCCAAGGCCCTACAGCTAGTAAGCAGCCAAGCCGGGACTTGAGTCCATGCAGATTTGCATCCCAGAGCTCCTCACTCTCAAATGCTGTGCTGTAGAAGCTGGGCCCCCCTCCCAAGGGGCTGCTGGTACACCCACCTTGTTGAAACTGTCGACCAGCCCCCGGCAGGTATGACAGGGATGGGGCTCAGGCGGGAGAGAAGCCTGGGGAGGCGTAGACGGTTGGGGCCAGACGGGTCCTGGAATACTGAGGAAGAGGCTCAAGCTCCCGAGTAGGGCTGGGACCAGGCCCCTCAGGGGCCGTGGAGCCATCTTTTCCCAGGATGGGGAACCTGTGGATAGAGAGCATGGGGAAGGTTCACTGGCAGAGCTAGGCCCCAGCTGAGAAAGAAAAGGGTCGTTCTAAGGTGCCGCGGGAGAGCCCAGATCAGCGTTATCAAAAGGGGCGAGACTGAGGTACGGCCGAGGGAGTAAGGGAAAGAAGCCTAAACTGCAATCTCAAGAAGGAAGTTTTCTACGTTACCGTGGGGGAGGGGGCCTGGATCCTTAGCATTAGGAGGCAAGGAGTCAGCGCATAGTTCTAGGGCCGAATATGGGCTATTAGGGGCCGTATCAGCAGTGACAAGAAGACCGGGTCAGATTCCGAGTATTAGGGGAGGAGTCCGGAAACCTGTGTTGGGGGGAGGAGCTCGGATCCGGATATGGGGAGAAGGGGTCAGGTTCGGGGCCTGGCAGGAGGTAGGGCACAGTCCATGGGCCAGCAGGGGAAGTTCCAGACCCGCGTACACCGCGGTGGAAGAAGAAACACCGCCCCAGCCCGCGGGCGCCGACAGCTTCAGCCTCCTCAACGCCGCCGCTGCAGCCGCTTGCGTAAAACGTGCAACCTCCGCCAGCGCCGCAGTTCGCGGGGCGGAGCCGACGCCCCAGCCAATGGCGGTTGGCCATGTGCCATTGCGTCTCCCCACTCTAGCCAACCAGAGGCAGCGCCAGGCTGCACCTGTCCTGGCCTTTAAAGGGCCGAGGGTACTAGAGACGCGGCTTACCATTCTGTCCACACCGAAGCGGAGACGCACGTGGGAGCCACGAATAGAAAATTACCGTTTGCCTTTATTCAAGTCAAGTCCCCCGCCCCAGGTCCCATCCTACATCTCGGGCCCGGGACCCCTGGGAGGGGGAAGCAGCCGTCCAGGGCCTTCTGAAGGGCCTGGGACACGTGCTCCGTCCTCTCTCTCAGCCGCCCGGGCCGTGGGGCGCCAGGCCCCTGCAGGGCTTCTAAGAAGTCAGGCAGCTGTGTGGGCAGTGAGAAGATGGGCACGGTACGGAAAAGGGAGGGCACGGCGTCTGGGTGGAGCAGCCTGTCGAAGCAGGCTCCGAGGTAGCGGCCGGGAGCCCGGCCCTGCAAGAAGTCGGGCAGCACACAGCTGAGCGAGGCGGCGAAGGCGTCGTGTGGGGCGTGCGCCCTCGGCGCGGACGCCCCATCCTGCAGCCACTCGCGGCACAGTGCCACGGCCCCGGGCGAGAAGAGCAGGACCACCACGCCACCCTCCTGCAGGGTCTGGCGCCGCTGCGCGTGGAACCAAGCCAGGGGCCCCTGCGCGCTCAGTTCACGACGGCTCCACAGGTCCACAGTCACGCGCAGCGGCAGCTGGCATAGCACCGACGCTAGGACGCTAGCTAGGCGCTCGAAGTCTGCGTTGTCGGCGGAGTAGAGGAGTAGAACCCGGCGAACCCTGGCGGCCGCTGCCAAAGAGAGCACAGGGGAAGCAAAGAGGTGAGATGGCCCGAGGCCCGGCCCGCTCGGGGCGGCCCCCGGCCCGGCGCTTGCTCACACTCACCCCCCGAGCGGACGTCCTCCTTCAGGAGCTGCAGCCACTCTGTTAGTGGAGAGGGGCAGAGGCAGCCAGTGAGCCCAGCCGCTGCCTCTCCGTGACTCCCAAGCCCACTCTGGTCTTGCTTATTGGGGGGGGGTTGGGGGGGGGTGCTCACCTTTCACGTGGTCCTTTTTGAGAAGGAAAAGGAGAAGCAGCATAGCGGCAAAGAGTAGGCAGGCCAGCCACACCAGGGCCCAGCGCTTGTGGATGTCTGACAGACCCAAAGGAGAAGCCGGGCTAGTTAGAGACCTCACACATAAGCCCCACTTCACTGAGAAGAACATCTGAGGCTCAGAGAAATGAAATGACTTGTCCAAAGTCCACCTCACAGAAGTGGCAGAGCCAGGATATGAACACAGATCTATCTAGTTGAGTGACCTTGGATAAGTGACTTCACTTTCTGCCTCAGTCTGCACCTCTGTAAAATTGAGATAAGACTGGAACCTACTTCATAGGGTTGTGGGGGCTAAGTCTATTATTAACACACATTAAACACTTAACACAGTGCCTGGCATAGTAAGTGCTTCAACTGTCCCCTAAGCCTAGAGTGGCTGGGCTCTTGACCTCACCCTCCTGAAAGGCCTCCAAACTGGTGTCCCTGCCCTATATGTTTTGCCCTGAATCCATTCATCACGTGGCAGCCCCAGAGATCTTTTAAAAATATAAATTTGGCTGCAGCCATCCCATTATCAAAGCCCTTCAGGAAATTCCTGCTGCGCTTAACATAAAATCCAAATCCCCTACACTTGCCTCCAAGGCCCTGCATCCTCATCTCATGCCAAGGGCCTGCCCAAGACTCTCCACACTGGTCACCTTGGATTTCCTCAAAAAAGCACCCCACAGACTTCATAAAAATGCATCTCCACCCTCTTCACTTAGCTCAGCCTGCAGAGTTCAGCTCAAACTTTTCCCTGAGCCCCTCACCCCACCTAGGTCAGTTTCCGCTACAGGCATTCACAGCCTTGGACACTTTCACTTCAGAGTGCTTCAGTAGCTGACAATGTAAGTGATGGCCTAGCTACTGTATCTCTAGCTGTCTAAGGGTTGGAGTGGGGACAGGGTTTGTATCTTTTGGATGATCCTTGGATCCCAGCAAGCTCTCATCCATGTTTTTTGAATGAAGGAAGAATGTTCCTCTGGTTTATCTGAGCTCAAGGAAGGACAAGGCCATTGCATGTGCTGCCCCCAGGGATAGTCCCTGCCAAGGTTTGAGCTCCTGTTATAGAGAGGAAGGGCGGCTCTTAGAATACTCACATTTGTCCATGGGGCAGGCCCATAGCACTCCCAGGCCGTCGTCCCATAGCTGTAAGACACAAAACCAAGTACAGACCCCCAGCTTGTTCAACACCCAGCAAGTTCTGGCCAGCCTGATCTCCTAGTTCCCAGCCTCAACTATGCTTATTTGTCCATACACAGCAGGTTGCTGCAAACTGCTCTGCCTTTGCTTATGCTTTACCTTACTGCCTGGAATGTGCCTTCTTCCCTGTCAAGTCTGGCCCACCCTTCCTTGAAGCTTTCCCTGGAACCCACCACTTAGCACATGTGGGTGTGATGATGTGTTTACTTGTCTCTAGCGAAGGAGCCCTGGTGGTGCAATGGTTCAGTGCTCAGCTGCTAATCAAAAGGTTGATGGTTGGAACCCACTCAGTGGCTCTGCGGGAGAAAGACCTGGTGATCTGCTTCCGTAAAGATTACAGCCTAACATACAATAAACTGAACTTATATAAAGTGTACAATTTTATGCACATGTAAAAATTCAAGATAATAAAGACATTAATCCGCTCAAAAAAAAAAAAAAAGATTACAGCCTAGACAATCCTGTGTGGCAGCTCTACGCTGTTACATGGGGTCAACTATGAGAATCGACTAGACGGCACACAACAACGGTAGGCAGCAGTGAGCTCCTTGAGGGCAGGAATTATACTTACTCTACTGTTAAACTCCCCTGGGCTGGACACAGATAGATGGTGGGTGGGTGGGTAGAATGACAGTAAGGAGGCTTAGGAAGAGTGAGCGTTTCCCTGGTGCCCTCTGCTCTGCTAAGTGCAGGGAGAGGCTAGGACAGAATTTTAGGCCTATTGCCGCCTACTCACCTGCTCACACTGGCCTGACTGCAGGTCCCCTAGTAGCTGCTCTCCAAGGCGAGCTGCCCTCTGCCAAGCCAAAGGAGGAGGCTGTTACCTAGGCGTGGCACTCTGAGATCACTGAGGGCAGGGTCCAGGTCTGAGTCACCCCCACCTCCCCAGAAACCAGCACAGGACCTGACACGGAGCAGGGGGAAAATGGGGTGGGGTGAACGTTTGAGGCCAGGTTTGAGATGAAGCTGGAGGTCTGTGGAAGAGGGTCCCCGGCCCTCACCGTGGAGGCCCTGCTGGGAAGTGGGGTGCAGCCACTGGGTTCCAAGGCACAGAGTGATCTGTTATCCTGGGGGCCTCGTGTCTCCACCAGCAGCATGTCATCCTTGAGGGGCCCCAGGGAGTCTGGAAGGGGTGAGAGGCCAGTCTGAGTGAGACTCAGCCTTGTGGAGGGTTGCCACTTATCCATCCCCCCCATGCCCTGACCTTCACCTCCAGGAGCCAGCATCTCCAGGGTTCAACCCTACAACAATGGTCTGCCCCAGCCTACCCCAGGCCCCACTCACCAGCCCATAAGCACTCTTCCAGCTGCAGCTTCTCCCAGCTGATCACCTGTTGAAAGGGGGCCAGGGTTAGGGGCACTGGAGAAATCAAGGGCCAAGGCCAGAAGGACCAGAAGAGAAGGCAAGAGGAGGTTTGTTGGGCTGGGGAGTCTGTGCTCTAGACCTAACCTTAGACAGATCTGGGTTCAAGGCTGGGTGACTAGGAAAGTCACTATACCCTTCTCACCTCAGCCTTGTGAGATCATCTGTGCTACAGGGCTTTCTGTTTCTAAAGTCCTACAAAGTACTTTACATGTTTGCTTCTCACCTAACCAACTTCTCAAAGAAGCCTCACCTGACTACCCCACTTAAAATTACAACCCCAATCCTCTCTTATCCTTCCCCACCTTTTCCCACACTATTTATATACAATTTTATACAACATGCTGTTGTAATTCACTAGTACAAGATTTTACAACCTACTGTATAACTGACTTTATTATGCTTATTGTCTGCCTTTCTCTATTAGAACATAAGCTTCATAAGGATAGTTTTGTTCACTGATATCGATCCCCAGTGCCTAAAGCATAGTAGTGCCTGGCGCATAGTAAATGCTCATTAAATATTTGTTGAATAAATGAATATCTTTATGATCATCCTTTGAAGTTATAGAGCAACCCATTCTACAGGTGGAACTAGAATAATATTAGCAGTAATAAAAGCAGCAAACATTTTCTGAGCATTTAGTCTGTGCCAGTCCCAAAGACGAAGCATTTTCTCTTATTTAATCCACACAACCATTCTATGAAGTAGTTACTATTATCATCCCCATTGAACAGATGAGCCACGCAGAGGTGAAGTGACTTGCCCAGGGTCCCATGCACTGCTAAAGTAAACGGTGGAACTCTCAGAGAGGAAGCCTGTAACTACTTTGCTCTAGGGGCCCTCCAGAAGACAGTGACTTGACTAGGGGATGGCGCAGGATCCACCCCCTGCCCACCCCGTTCTCACCTGGACACAGAGGTTGGGGTGGCCCTTCAGCAACGGGAACCCGAAGGCCTTCTGCGGAAAGAGGGATGGATGGCTGGGGTCACGGGGATCCCTAGCCTCCTTTCCTGCTCCTACTCGGGCGCCGCCCACCGCCCGGCTCACGTTCACAGTGATGTTCTCCCGCGGCAGCGGCGGGACCAGCGGCTGGCAGGGGCCCCCGCCCGGCGCCCGCCAGCACAGTGCCGCCTCTGCGGGCAGTGAGCACGGCGCATCTATCCGCCAGCCCAGCGGGGGAAGCAGCTGCAGCCGGCTGGCACGCCACAGGTTCCGGTGCGCGCGGGGGTCTGTGGGGAGAGGGTGCAGGTCACTGCGTGGGACACTCGTTCGCCCGCACTGCCTCCACCCAGAGCCCCAGGCCAGCATTTGCTCACCTTCCCTGAAGGGGCAGAGGTTCGTCCTGATGGCATCGGGCTCCATGGGCCACACCTGGAAAGGACACAGAGTTCCCCTCAGGTCACTTCCACCCAGCCTACCCTCCATGGGCATCTACCATGTGCCAGGCACTGGGGACACATTCATTCAGCAGATATTTCATCAGCACTTACCTGGTCTTTTAGCTCTTTGAAGGCCCTAGAGATGCACACATTTATTCTTCCAGCAAACCCTTAATAAGCATCTATGCCAGGCATTGGCAACATCTTCACCCAATACACTTTTAATGAGTACCTACTATGTGTCTTAGTATTATGCTAGGCACCAGGGACGTTCAGTAACTCATTCTGCAACCACTTTGTGAACATCTACTGTGGGTCAGGCACTGTGCTAGGTGCTGAGGACACATGCATTTATTCTTTCGATAGACTTTTTAAGAGCACCTATTATGTGCTTAGCCCTGTGCTAAGCACTAGAGATAATATATTAATTTATTCAGCAAAACTTTAAGTAAGAGAGCACTTACTATGTGGTAGACATCATACTTGGCAACGAGGACATTTAAGTCACAGCAAACATTTCATGAGCATCTCCTATGTGTCCTATCACTGTGCTAGGCAGTAGAGATTCATTCATTTATTCATTCATCAAACAATTAGTACCCACTGTGTGCCAGGCACTGTGCAAGTCTCTAGGGGAAATTACTAAATTTGAATTAGATGTGATTTGTTTGCTTTCAAGGAATTCACAGCTTTAGTAAGGATAAAACATGTATATAAGTTAATAAATCGAACTAAGTCCAGAAATATTTATTGAGTATCTGTTGTGTACAAGAAGAAATGAGACAAGTTGCCCAATATAAGAAAGGAAGTAATAAATGGACAAGGAAGAACAGAATAAGTTCAAGGGGAGGCCAGGCAGTTGGGGAAAAGCTTTCGGAGAGAGGTAACATTTGAGCTGGGAGGATTTGGTTGTGTGGAGAAGAGGTAAGGGCATTTCAGGCAGTGGGAACAGGGGTGGGTGTAGCCTAGTAAGTAGCTCCATTTGGATGTAACAAAGTTGACTTAAAGGGGAATCACGGGAAGGTATAATGGCAAAGGTTCACTTAAGGGCAGAGTATGGAGCCCAGATGGTCAGGGAATGTTGGAAGGGAGGTGGGTCCAGAGGTTATTGAAATAGTCTAGAGGAGAGATGGTAGAGGCCCAAACTGGCCTGAGATGGAGAAAAGGGGGAAGAGAATGAGAGATTTTAATGTCAGAGGTCAAATGAATGGGACCTGGTGACCAATTAAATGTGCAATTGATTGAAGAGAGAGGAAAGAGCCAACATATATAAACCCAGGCATGGCACGCTTCCTTGTAACAGGTTGTACTATTATTATTCCCATTTCACAGATAAGAAACAGGTTGAGAGAGGTGAAGTGACTTGCCCAAGGTCACACAGCTAGCAAATGGCAAAAGTCAGGATGCAAACCAGTCTGAATCCAGAGCATGTGCTCTGCCTTCCAGGGTGACACAAAGAAGGGATTGGGGAAACAGGAGAAGCCTTCAAGGAGGAGATGACATCTGAGTGGGGCCACAAAGGTTATAAGTAGGAATCCTGTAGAGGGAAGGTCAGGAAGAGCATTCTGGGCTATAACAGGCAGGAGTGAGGGACAGCAGGGGTCAAAGAAGGACCAGCCACTCGAGTAGGCAAGGGTTCCAACCCCTAAGAGGAATGTGGAGGATGGTGAGACCAGGAAGGTAAGGGGCCACCACCCTCACCAGCTCCCCTTCCCCTGGGCCCAGCTGGGCTCCGAGCCTACCTGAATGCAGAGGCAGGGAACCAGTTCTGTGTGGTTCAAGGTAAAGTTCTGTGGCCCAGTCTGTGGGACAAGTAGAAGGAGGGAAGCTGGAGAAGTTAAGGAGGAGGAAGAGGGTTGGAGGCCAAAGCTGAGGACCCCAGGCAGGCAGAGTGGTGATTTCCTACTGCTTATCACCTGGTGTCTGAAATCCCCCCACCAGTGTTCCCTTGCTTTGGGCATGGGTCTGTTGGCCTCTTCAAAGGTCCCGTTTGATAATGTACTAGCATCCTTAGCACTGGCCTAGAGTGGGAATGGTCTTGGCGGGAGCTCACCATGTTTCTTTGCCACCTGGGTTTTGGGGGGCCCTGGACCTGGTCCCAGTACAGGGAGAGGCTGAAGCGTTGCTCCTCAGAGACATCCAGCACCAGGCGCATGTTGTCGCCATCTGCAGACAAGTTGAGCCAGGGTAGGGCTGCTGGGGGAGACAAAGGCAGAGAGGGCATCTCAGACTTCCTTCACCATTTCTACACACCCAAGCCTGGGCCATACTCACCCACTGACCCTGTGGTGTTTCCTCCAAACCCCTTAGACTGAGAAACTCCTGGAGGGCAGAGCCTGTGACCCTATCTGAGACCAGACTTTGTCCCCAGCAGCTGGCCCAGGGCTGAGCCTGTAGAAGCCCCAGGATGTGATCTTGGGACAACTGTTCTCTCCTCCCTGCAGCCAAAAGGATCTTCCTCCACTGCTCAGAAGCCTCTGATGGCTCCCCATATTACTCCCAGTAAAAGCCAGAATCCTTACAATGACTCACAAGGCCCTATCCAATCTGGCTGCCATGACCTCACTAACTTTATCTCCTAGTCCTTGTCCTTAACTACTCTGCTGCAGACATACTGGCCTCCTTACTACTACTTAAACACACCAGACACTCCTGCCTCAGGCCCTTTGTACTGGCTATACCCTCTGCATAGAAACCTCTCCTCTCAGATACCCACATGGCTCCTTCCTCACCTCCTCAGGTCTTTTTCACTACAGTGAGGCCATCTCTGACCCCCTGCAACTCCCAACTACCTTATCTCCCCTCCTCCATTTTCTCCACAGCCCATATCGCCACCCAACTGATAGTATATTTTAAATCTCCATGTGTTCATCCCTTGCCTCCATCCTGACTCCCCACTAGAATGTCAGCTCCATGACGGCAGTGATTTTTGTGTTTGTTTATTGATTTATCTCTAGTGCCTAGGGCTATGTCTCGCATACGGCAGTTACTCAATAAATATATGTTGAATCGATGTCTACTGAATGAATGAAAAAATGAAATGCATGATGTATATCTGTATCCTCAAAGCTCTGATGCTGAGTAGTCTTTAATGGATTACCAAAGAGGCAAGCCAAGTTTAAGTTTAAGGAACCAAAAAGAAAACAAAGTTGAAATAACTTGATAGCTTCAAAAACATCACGGTGTTTATATCTTGACTTGGGTGGTAGTGTATACATATGTAAAAATCAATCAAGCTGGACATTTAAATTAGTGCACTTTACATACTTTGTTATAGCACAATAAAAAAGGAAAAAATGAACAAAAACAAAATCCAAATAATGACAATGAGGAAAACCATCAAAACCTTGACCTTCTTAGCCCTTAATCTATTGTATAATATTATTTTTATTTTTATATATTGAGGGTGAGCAGAACCATAATGCTGACAATGCTTTGAGCCTCTAGATGTCCCTAAAAAAAAACAGTTGCTGTTGAGTCAACTTCGACTCACGGCGACTCCATGTGCGTCAGAGTAGAACTGTGCTCCATAGGGTTTTCAATGGTTGACACTTCAATTGCCACACCTTTCTTCCAAGGTGCCTCTGGATAGACTTGAACCTCCAACCTTTCAGTTAGCAGCCAAGCACATTAACCATTTGCACCACCCAGCGACTCCCTAGATGTCCCCATTACTAATATATATTATAAGGAGTGAGAGACTCATGTTTATATTCCCAGTTCCTGGCACAGATCGGAGTTACTGTAGTTTATGTCTGATGAATGAATGAATGAATGAATACGCTCCACCAGCTTCTGGGATGAAGCAGCCGAGATCTGGAGCCAATTCCAAGGGTCCCTCACACTCCAGACTCTGACCCGCCCTCTCCCCAGCCCTGCTGGCCCTAGCCCCTACCCCAGCAGCTCTGGATGCTGTCCCGGACTTCGAGCCCCCTGCAGTCTGGGGAGAGATCACAGAAAAGCCTCCAGTGGGATTGGGGGCCAAGAAAAGAAGGGGGAAGATCCAACCCATGGAGGGCAGGGAAGGGCTCTCTGACCCCTAAATACCACCCACAACTGTCCAGTGCCCAGAGCACCTTCCTCAGGGGCTAGAAAGCCATGTCACCTGGAGAGAGAAGGCAGGAGGGAATGACTCTGGGGAGGATGTGAGCTCAGAGACCTGCCAGAGGGACAGGAGGAGGGTGAATGCAGAAGGGGAGTGGCCAGAGGGGAAAGAGACTAGGGAGGCCAGGGTTTGGGGCCCTGAGGCTTTGAGGCCACTTACCAGGCAGCTTCTGTGTGAAGTTGAGTTCCTTCTGGTATCTGGGCTGAGTGTAGGACCATATTTGCACCTCACCCCCCAGGGCAGCCTCAAAGCAGTCAAATACTACAGAGCCCTGTGTGGAGAGGGGTTGGGGGAAGGCTGGTGGTGCAGGGCTCAGGACCCAGGCCAATGGCAATTGCTCCTCTGTATGGACCCCTCTGTCCGTCCACTCACCCACCCACCTGGACTATACTTACGCTGTACAGCCGGAAATTCCACCATTAACGTTCCCTTCAAGCATCCTCAATTCTAAAGCAAACACTCTCCGCAGGGGTGTCAGCAGGGCAGAGATAAGGGCCCTGACTATTTAAGCCCCTGTTCTTACCCCTGCTGTCAGATCACCTGGCCAAAGCTAACGTGACAGACACCCCAATGCAAATGTGGGACACCCCTCCCCACAGAGCTTGTTCTCATACACAGTGCCTCAGTGGGCCTCACAAGTGCTTTGTGAGGTGGGCCAAGTAAGCATTTTCCCTTTCTCCACTTTTCCAGATGAGAAACTACAAGTTGGGGGTTGGAGGCAGGAGAGGAAGTCAAAGGGTTTAAGTGATTTGGCCTCAGTGGAGACAGATCTTCCAACCATGTTTGGCCCCCTGAGGCAGGGGGAAGCCCCAGTGCCCTGTATCATGGTGCATACATAGTGCATAAATAGTGTAGTGGGCAGAGCATTAGTCCAGGAGTCCAGAGAAGTAGACCCAGCCCACAGATCTCCCCTCTCTGAGCCTCAGCTTCTTTACCTGGAAAATGGGGGCGATGATGGGGGCGATTTTGAGGATTACAAAATAAAGAAAAAATTAAATTCACTGAGGTCCTTCAGCACTGGGCGTTACACCAAGTGCTCTATATGTTAGGAACTCATTTAATTCCTGCTGCAGACATCTGAGGTAGGACAATTCTCATTTCTACTTTACAGACAGGAAAACTGAGCCACAAAGGATTGAAAGGGCTCACCCACAGTCACATATCAGAATTAGGACTGAAAGAGCTAATGCATGTGAAAGCACTTTATAGGTTTCCTGTTTAGAAGGTAGTCATTGTTGTCATTATCATTCCACATACCACAGACTGACCAGACCGCACGAGGGACGCAGGTACTTGCACCTCCAGCAGGACGCAGCGGGCAGTAGGGTAGGCCTGGAAGGAGAGCACGACTTGGGACTGCAGAGAAGCTGTAACAGGGCAAGGGGTGGGTCAGGCCCAGCAGCCATGGGCAGGGCCCTGGCAAGAGGCAGTTGGGACAGCTGGGTTCTTCTCACCGTTGCTAGGCTCTCTGGGCTCTGGATCAGATGCTCCTCCAAACTCTTCCTCATCTTCAGGCTTCGCCCAGTGCCCTGGAAGGACCCAAGAGTAAGGCCCCAGTCAGGCCTCCTGCTCTGGGCTGACTTTAGGAAGCAGAGGCAGGCCTGGGGACTGGGGAGTGGACAGGGAGACCAGGCTGGCCTAGGGGTCCTTAGGCCAGTGTCCTCCAGGAGACCACTGAAGATGACCAGCACTGCCCAACAGATCCCCCGGTCCTCATGCCTGCCCCAGATACACTCCCACGTGCACACACACACAGCCATGGACTTGCTCACCATGCACAGCCAACTGGACGTCCACACGCACACAGAGGTCACAGTCAGTCTCATGATAGCACCTCAGCACCAGCTCTGTCTGCAGGCGTGTAGGCACCAGCACAGGGCCTGGAGGGGGCTCGATGGTCCCAGGCAGACAGAGCACGTCACCATCTGTACAGGAAGGATGGGGTGGGAGCTGAAGCTGTTCAGAACCTGGAGTTCTGCACCGGACACCCCCAGAGGGCCAAGGAGCTTTGGGCTCTTCCTGGGCCAGTGGGGTAGTGATGGCGTGAGTCTGGGACAGCTCCCATCCTTCTGCCAACCTGAGTTCTTTTCTCTCTAAGAGTAGGGATACTCACCCCAGAGGTGGCAGGAGAGGCCCTGGGAGGGAGGAAAAGGAGAATCAGTTTATGTCCCCAAATCCAATCACCTTTCCTTGCCTGAGACCTCTGCCCACATCTTTTTAGGGCCCCCAACTCCAAGCCCCTCCCAGAAAACAGACCCCTCCCCCTTCTTCTTTTCCCCTTCCAGTACCAGACAGACCAGCCAGGGCAGTTCTGGTGGTGGCGGCAGTGACAGGAGCCAGGCTAGGGCTGTGATGGGCCGCAGACTGAACCCTGAGCCTTCTTCAAGTCTCCCAAAGCCCCAGACTCACCGGAGAGCAGTGGGCGGTGTTCTGAGGCCCTATAAGCCTCTCCAGAGGGAGGACCCCGGGGCTGCGACCCAGTGCCAAGGACAGCAGGAACCAGGGCACAGGCATCTTCCAGGTGCCGAGGCACCCAGGCCAGAGGCCCTGTCCTGCCCCCCCAAGGGGGGGGCAGACCCCCTCTCCCCAGCCCCCACTCAGCCCAGGGCAGGTGGGCAGCAGGGGCCAGAATCCCTCCCCAGCCCTGGGGTCCAGCCCTGGGTGGCTTGCGCACTCCCTCTCCTGGATGTCCTGACTCCCGTCCCACTCCCAGCTGGAGTGCTTTCGTTTTAGCTCCCGGCAGGCAGTCGGCTGTTCCCGCCCCCGCCCTGCCCCTCCCACCAACACCAGGCCTGGGAGCCGGCAGCCAAGGACTAGGGTGGTGGCCTCACTGTTCCTTCTTTCTCTCTCCTCCTCCTCCTCTGCTGACACTTGGCTGGGAGGGGCCCCTGGAGAAGGCAGTGGCAGTATCATGGCTGAGTAAGGGAGCTCTTATTCACCCTGAAAGTCGCTGAGGAGGGTTCAGACCATGTTCCCCGGGACCTGGGCAATCCTGGGCCACTTTCGCTTCCCATGTAACCCTGAGACATAGACCCTGGGATCCTGGGGCCCACTGGGGGCCTCCTTACTGGGTACCTCGGGTCCTTCACACAGCTCCTTCCCTTGTGGATAGCGGCCCTAGAGGCAGGGGCAAGAGGCACTGAATGTGGGCTTTCTCCACTGCCTTTTAGGCCCAAGTGTGGTTTGGCGGGGAGGGGGGTAGGGGGGCAGGACTTTGAGTCAGCCAGACAGGGGTCCCATTTGTGCTTTTGCCATGGGCTGGCAGTGTGACAATGGACACTCCACCTTTCCAAACCTCAGTTTTCTCTTGTTTTGGAAGCATCACAGCAAGGATTTTCTTCGTACTTGAGGAGGCAATGCTTGTTGAGTATGTGAGAGAAGTGGATGTTAGTGTGGACACGGAGGATTCTGCACACAGATTGGTTCCTAACAACTGTCAGGCAGAGTCCAGGCCACTTGGTACCACTGACCCTCTTCCCCAGTCAGGATCCCAGCCACACTTGAGAAGCACATTGTGTTTCTTAGTTTATCACTTTTGCCTTTATTCATCTTTCCTGCTCCTGGTGTCCATCGTCCCACCTTTATTCCCTGTCTATCCAGGTCCTCTTTCTCTGGGTCCGAGTCCTCCCTCCCTCCCCCTCTGGACAGGGTGGGGCCGGGGAAAGGAGGATCCCTGGTCTCCAAGGGGGCTTTCTCCTGCCCCCCTGTGGAGACCCCCTTCAGAAATCCTATAGCTCCTACCTGCCCTATCCCTGCTCCAACCTCTCCAACCTGCACTGGAGTGGAGCAAACTGCTCTGTCTGGAGTTTTGGAGAGGGGAAATGGGACGATTCACTCCCCCCATTAGGACCGGGGTTAGAGGTGCTCTCAGTTGAGTGCTGCTCTCCCCAGGAGTTCCGAAAGGCAGGGTCAGTTTGTGAGGAGGAGGAGGGACACACAGGTAGGGTCAAACGTGGGGGATGGGTCGGGACAGTGAGTGAGCTGCTTGGCGCCGGGTTGGGAGGCAGGGAATAGGAGGTGCCCCAAGATCCAGGGTAGGAGGCTCACTCCGGGGTTCCAGCCAGTGCCCCTACGTGCTGCGGCCACAGGCCTCGGAGGCTGCGGTGGAGCTCTACTCAGCCTCGGTCGGCAGGTTTCGCGGCCTCAAGTTCCAGCCGGTGGCACAGCGTCAGGCGACCCCGGAGGCACGGCCGGGCCCCGAAGCAGCCCCAGTTTGTGGCTCTGGTCGAGGGTGCCGCGTCCAGCGCCCGCAGTAGGCGCCGCAGGTCCCGCAGCAGGCGGTAGCGTGGTAGCGCGCGTAGCGGTGGGGGGATGTCGCCCTCGGGGCAGAGGCGACTGAAGTATGCAAGTAGCAGCAGCGGACGCGGGACGGCGCTGAGCAGGGCGCGCAGTGGCGCGGCGTTGGTGTCGTAGCCACGGGCCCGGCCGGGGCCCGCGCCGCTCCACAGCAGCAGCACGGTGCCCCGCTCCTGCACCACACGCGCCCATGCAGCCCACAGCCACGGCAGCGGGCCCACACGCGCCACGCGCTTCCCCTCCCACAGGTCCACGATCACGTCTCGCCCGCCGCCCAGAGCGGCGCGCAGCAGCTCAGCCAGCGCCCCCACCAGGCGCCGCTGCGCCTCGGAGTCCGCCGCGTGTAGAAGCAACACAGGCCGCCCTCGGCCGGGACCTGAGAGTGCCGGCAACAGAGGAGCAGGGGGCGGGGCTAAGGGAGAGCCCAGCCTGTCCCGTCCTGGTCCCGGGGCTACACTATAGGGTGCCCTGAGCCCCTTATAGGGCGCTGGGGATGAGTACCGAGGACAGCCCTCGCCTATTCGGTGCCTTTAGGCAAATTAGATAAAGGTGCCCCTTCCTGAGCGAAAGGCCGGGGCGTCAGGCTCGGCATGTGTAGTGCAAGCTGGATTGCGGTCCCACTCACTGCTTGCCCTAGAGTCCTGGTACAGTGAGCAACCCGCACAAAGGGGACGTTGTCCCACCTTAACCATTCCTGCCCACTAGGGGAGGCTCACCCCTTTGGGTGGCAGAGAGCTGGGTGCAGGGCAGAGGGACATGGCTCTTTGGGAAGGGACCCTGGGCAGGGGAGGGGTGGGGGGCAACTAGCCTAGAAGCTGGGCAGGTCTGAATCCCCAGGTTACCTTCAGGTGAGCTTACCCGACAGTGGGCGCCGGTGGGTGAGGACCAGAACAATGCCCAGTAGGGTGGTAAGGGCCAGCAGTGCCAGGATCAAGAGTCCCAGACGTCTATGGGAGACTGAGTCAAGCAGGGTGAGGCCAAGCAGGGCTCCTTAGTGCCCAGCCTCCCTCTTACAGGCACACGCCCACCTTCCCCTCCCATGAACTCACCATCTGGGCACAAGACGTGTTTCCAGGCAAACTGGACATCTGACCGCCACACCTGAGGGCACAGAGCCCCCCGCACCCCAGTGAGCCAGGGTATCTCCTCCTCCCAAGGGGAGTTGAATGGGGTGGGGGGTGGAGAGGGGAAGTCCCCATGGGATAGTGAACCCCTCCAAATGCAGGGTTTGTTCAGGGCCTTGCACAGAACAGGTCAAGTGTTGCAAACTCAACTGTGACAGTGCCCAAACTCATAAAGCAAACATAAAGTTGGCCAGGGGACAGTGAGGTCCTGGAGAGCACAGGCCTTGACTGAAGCAATCAGACACCACTAAGCTCCAGCCCATTGGCACTGTGCCAGAGGGTGGGCACAGGGCACCAGGTTTTCTAATTTTTCAAGAGAAGTCAGAAATTCAGTTTGTGTGTGTGTATGTGTGTATGTTTTAACATAACATCTCTCAGTATTTAAATGGTGGCAACTAATTCCAGTTTCAGACACTGTGCTGGCCAAACCAAACATTTTTGCAGACTGGATTCACCCTGTGTGCCACCTGTGGAAGAGAAGGTGCTAGCAGAGTGTGAATGAGGGTAGGATTCCTTACCAGGACACAGCTCCCTGGCCTCAGGGAGGGAAGGATGAGGTCTAGTGTCACTGGGCTTGAGCCCTGGGTCTGTAGGAACAAACAGCAGAATGACTGTCCCCACGGAGGCAAATCTGGCTCTGCCCAGCCCCTGAGTCTTTGCCCATGCTGTTCCTCTTGTCTCCCCCCACCCTCCAAATCCTACCCAGGCTTAATTTAGCCCAGGTGCCACCTTGACATAAGGTCAAGAAACCTCCCCGGGCCACTTCAGCTCCCGTTGATCTCTCTTAGATATGAACTGCTGCTGTACACACACGTATCAGTCAGGCTGTCAGGCATTCATCAAAAAAATTTACTGAGTGCTGACTCTGTGCCAAGTCCTGAGGAGTGAAGGCTGTGCAGATATTGGCCCTGTCCTCCTGCAGCTCATAAACCAGGGAGGCCAATTACATGCTGCCTTGCTCACTGTTCTGCACAACTGAAGGGGTTTCTTGTCTACTGGAAAGAATGCAAATTGTGGATCAGAAGACCTAGGTTCAGGCTTAACTACTGCTTTTGTGGTTCCTAGCTGTGTGATCTTTGCAAGGAAATAGGTTATTTCCCTTCCCTGAGCCTCAGTTTCTTCACTTGTATACCAACCCAAACCCATTGCCGTCAAGTTGATTCCGACTCATAGCAACCCTATAGGACAAAGTAGAATGGCCACACAGGGTTTCCAGGGAGCACCTAGTGGATTCGAACTGCAGACCTTTTGGTTAGCAGCTTAGCTCTTAACCACTATGCCACCAGGGTTTCCTCACTTGTATATGGGGGATAAAAACCTTCAGTTTACTGAGTTAGTGAGCACATCAAATGGGAATAAGCATGTGAAAACCCTTAATAATAAAGCCAAAAAACCAGTTGCTGTGGAATAGATCCTGACTCATGGTGACCCTATGTGTGTCAGAGCAGAACTGTGCTCCATAGAGTTTTCAATGGCTGATTCTTCCGGAAGCAGATTGCCAGGCCTTTCTTCTGAGGTGTCTCTGGGTGGACTCAAACTTCCAACCTTTCAGTTAGCTGCCAAGTATGTTAACCCTTTGCACCACTCAGAGACTCCTAATAATAAACAGTGCACTGTGTATTCATTTATTAGTAGTAGCTAATATTAGACTGTGAACTCCTTAAAGGCAGAAGAGACTGTACCACTGACTTCTCTTGTATCTCCCAGGGCCTAATACAGGGTGAGCACAGAGTAGGCACTCAATAAATGCTTGCTGAATTGAACAGAATTGATTGCCATTTGTCTACAGGTAGAAAGTAGCTCTTCCCTGTGTTCTGGGGGCTGGTTAGGGAGTTGGCCAGTCTCCATCCTTCAGGGACGCCTGCTACCCTCTATCCCCTACTCCCGTCTCAGACCCTGTTCCCCAGTCAGCTTACTGGAAGGTGCTAATGCAGTGGTTCTCAAATCATGTCTAAACTCAATAAAGGTGCTTTTTTCCCAACTCACACAAACAAATAAGCTGATGGATTTCACTCTCAGTTTTAGGTTATTCCACATGACTTTGTCTTAAATCTTAAGCATGAGTTAGCTGGTCTTAAATCTTAAGCATTTGCTACCACCTGTCTGCTTGGGAAGAAGCCCTGGTGGCACAGTAGTTAAGTGCTTGGCCACTCATCAAAAGGTCGGCAGTGTGTTCAACGAGAAGGAAAAACTAATCACTAACTTTATATGGACGGGAAAGATGCCCCAAATAAGTAAAGCTTTATTAAAAAACAAGAAGAAGGTAGGAGGTGTCACACTACCTGATCTCAGAACCTACTATACAGACATGGTAGTCAAAACAGCATGGTACTGGCATAACAACAGACACATAAACCAATGGAACAGAACTGAGAACCCAGACATAAATCCATCCACCTATGGACAGCTGACCTTCAACAAAGGACCAAAGTTTGCTGAATGGGGAAGAGATAGTCTCCTCAACAAATGGTGCTGGCAAAATTGGATATCTATCTGTAGAAAAATGAAACAGGATCCATACCTCACACCATACACAAAAACTAATTCGAAATGGAGCAAAGGTCTAAATATAAAACCTAAAACTATAAAGATTATGGGGGAAAAAATAGGGACAATGCTAGGGGCCCTAATAGATGGCATAAATAGAATACCAAACATAACTAAAAATGCACACATGGAAGAAGATTAACTAGATAAATGGGACCTCCTAAAAATTAAACACTTATTATGCTCAACAAAAGACTTCTCCAATAGGTAAAAAGAGAACCTACAGATTGGGAAAATTTTTTTGGCTACGACATATCCAACAAGGGTCTAATCTCTAAAATTTATAGAAAACTTCAACACTTCAACAAAGAAAAAGACAATCCAATTAAAAAATAGGCAAAGGATATGAACAGACACTTCACCAAAGAAGACATTCGGGCTGCTAACAAACACAGGAAGAAATGCTCGCGACCACTAGCCATTAGAGAAATGCAAATCGAAACTACAATGAGATACCATCTCACCCGACATTACTGGCACTAATAAAAAAAAACAGAAAATAACAAATATTGACGAGGTTGTGGGGAGATTGGAACTCTTATACACTGCTGGTGGGAATGTAAAATAGTACAACCACTATGAAAAACGGTCTAGCACTTCATCAAAAATCTAGAAATAGAAATACCATATGATCCAGCAATCCCACTCCTAGGTATATACCCTAAAGAAATAAAAGCCATGTGTGATGGTTAAGATTATGTGTCAACTTGGCTGGGCCATGATTCTCAGTGTTTTAATGTGATCACTCCCATGATTGAATACACTGTGAGTAGCCAGTCAGATGAAAGGGAGTCTCCTTAGGGGTGTGGCCTGCATCTGAATATAAGCAGACATTCTGGCTTTTTGCTTTGTTTCTGGATCCTGTGGCTGCCTCCTGTCATCTCATCTCTGGTTCTTGGGACTTGAGCTGTCAGTTTATCTGCTAAACTTGGGATTCGTTGATCTTCACAGCCTGTGAGTGGAGCCCTGCTTTCGGACCTACCAATCTTGGATTCGCCAGCCTCTGCAGCTACGTGAATCAGGAGAAACCTTGTGGTTTTGCCTCCCAATCTTGGAATTCGTCAACCTTCACAGCCTGTGGGCAGGGGCTCTGCTTTCCGAGCCGCCGATCTTGGGCTTGCCAGCTTCTGTGGCTGCGTGACTTGGGAGAGGCCTCTACCCTGATCCACAGACTTGGGACATTCTAGCCTCTACAATTGTGTGGGCTGTTTCCTTGATATAAATCTCTCTCTATATATATATTTATACGCTTTATTGGTTTTGCTTCTCTAGAGAACTCAGCCTAAGACACCATGATACGAAGAAACATATGCACACTCATGTTCATTGCAGCACTATTCACAATAGCAAAAAGGGGGAAGCAACCTAAGTGCCCCTAAACAGATGAATGGATTAACAAACTGTGGTACATACACACAATGGAATACTATGCAACGATAAAGGATAATGAGGAATCCATGAAACATCTCACAACATGGATGAATTTGGAGGACATTATGCTGAGTGAAATAAGTCAATTGCAAAAGAACAAATATTGTATGAGACCGCTATTATAAAGTAACAACAAAAGGTTTACATACAGGAGAAAAAAAAATTTGTTGATGGTTACCAGGAATGGGAAAGGGGAGGAGAGGAAAATTACCAAGTAGACAGTAGACACATGTTTATACTGATAAAGGGAAAGGCAATACACAATATGGGAGAAGTCAGCACAGTATGACCCAGGCAAGAGAGGACACTGAGAGGAACGCAGGAATAAAGGACAACTATAGTAACTATAGAGCCCTGGTGGTGCAGTGGTTAAGAGCTCAGCTGCTAACCAAAAGATTGGCAGTTCAAAACCACTGGGCGCTCCTTGGGGCAGTTCTACTCTGTCCTACAAGGTCGCTAGGAGTTGGAATCAACTGGAGGCAACAGGTTAAGGTAACTACTATAGCATAGACAATCCTGCAACAATAGTATTAAAACGAACAATAATTTACAAATGGATACATATATAGATATGCCAAAAGGTGAGGGAGGTGTAAGGGAGCATACTCACTGGCAGATACAGGTTTGGTAGTAGAAATTTCTAAATACATGACCACAGGTGCTCCTCATGTATTAATATAGACAGCAGAGCACACAAGTGGCACAGTCAGGGCAATCTCTTAGACACAACTAAATACCTTATAGGATGAAGTTCCCAGGCTCGAAGGCAAAAGACCACAGATTCAGGTGACATCGATGTCGACTAGCACAACATAGTTCTTAAAGACAACGTTCTACATCCTATTTTGGTGAGTAGCATCTGGGGTCTTAGAAGTTTGCAAGCGGCCATCTAAGATACAACTATTTGTCTATTCCAACCCGGAGCAAAGGAGAGTGAAAAAACCAAAGACTCAAGGACTAATGGACCATATGAATCACAGCCTACACTACCCAGAGACCAGAACTAGATGGTGCCCGGCTACCACTACCGACTACTCTGACTAGGATTACAACAGAGGGTCCCAGATAGCAGGAGAAAAATGTAGAACAGCAGATCAAATTCACAAAGAAGACCAGACTTACTAGTCTGACAGAGAATGGAGGAACTCCCAAGACTATGGCCCTAAGACACCCTTCTGACCTGGAACTGAAGCCATTCCTGGAGACCACTTTCCAGCCAGACAATAGATAATCCCACAAAATAAACAATAACACCAGAGGAATGTGCTCCTTAGAACAATCAACATTTGCCCAAAAGCAAAGATGAGAAGGGAGGAAGGGGTAGAAAATCCGGCCAAAAGGAAACGGGGAACCCAGGGTGGAAATGGGGAGAGTGCTGACACATTGTGGGGAATGAAGCCAAGGCCATGAAACACTTTATGTACAAACTATCGAATGGGAATCTAATTTGCTCTGTAAACTTTCACATAATGCACAATAAAAGGAAAAAAAAAAAAAAGGCCGGTGGTTTGAACCGACCAGTCACTCCATAGGAAGCAATCTGCTTCCATAAAGTTCACAGCCTTGGAAACACTATAAGGCAGTTTTCTAGTCTGTCCTACAGGGTTGCTAAGAGTCAGAAATGACTTGACAGCAATGGGTAATGCGGTGGGTCTGCTTGGGCGCCCTCAGAGAATGCGAAACAAACAAGCTGCAAGTGAGCATTTAAGAAAGAACTAGAAAGAGCTAGTCATGCTTAGTCAGCTTGGTGCTGTGGTTTTGAGTGTGTTTGACTGGGGGTTTTATATCACATACAAAGAAGAGTCTGCTAGTGAAACTGTTCTTAGTCCACACAATAGAGTTAAGTCTGTCAGTAGTTTATACTATTCTCCAAAGAACACACTGGCTTCCAGGGGCTCTGCCTCTGGAGTCTGAGAGCTTCTGCACAGGGGCCTTGTGAAGTAGGAGACTCTCCGTAGAGGACAGCTGGGTTTAAGAACTGCATCAACATAAAATGGGGCAGCAGTTCGGATAGGCCAGAGAACAACTGAATATGGGAGGACCCCTGCCTCTGATTAACACTGTAAGTTCAGAAACTGAAAGGTTTAGAAACTGCTCCATGGAACACCCCAGTGACAGAGAAGCCAGTTGAACAAAGGCCGATTAAGTAAATAAATTAACCAGGTGATATAAGTTAGGGATTTGGCCACCTTCACTGACCTAGGGTCTGTCTCAGTGAGGTGACAAGGAGATTGAGGCTTTGCTCTGAGCAACAGGGCCTGATTCGGGGGCCGGGGGCAAGCCCTGGCTAGGCCATACCTGGCTGACGCTGTACACGGGGGGCACCAAGCTGTTCTGCCCTGCACCTGGGTGGCTCCAGGCAGCACTGAAGGTGGCATGCGTCCTCGATGATAAGTGAAGGATCAGCTGCTGGGCCTGGGTGTCCATGCTCACATTCCAGGATGGGGCTGCCCAGGGGAGTGGGAGAGGGCATCACATGAGAGATCCCTGTTCATGGGAGGTGACAGGAGCTGGGCTACAGTGGATGGGAAGTCAGGGCAGGGCTAGGGTTGGGCTTGATCACAGTTGAGTGAAAATGAAATGTTGAGATGGGGTCCCAGCTGGTGTCACTTATTGGCTCACCAGTCCTGTGGGGGCATTCGACGTGGCTGCTGTTGCCAAAAGAGAACTGAGAAATACAGGAGTGGAAAATCAGCATGGGATGGGTCATGGGAAAGGAAGCCCAGGCATCACCCACTATCCCAACCCATCCTTCCTCTCCCACGGTTGTACCTTGAAGCAGAGGTGGGGGTGCAGGTCCACCTTCTCCAACACATACAACTGCAGTGGGAGAGGAGAGTTAGTCAGGGAGAAGGTCCCTGCGCCCCAGCCGTACCTCCCAGGTCCTGAGGGCCTGTGCTCACCCCCTCTGACTCTCGAGCCGTGGCATTGGGGAGGTCTTCACAGAAGGCGTGCCAGCCCTGCCTCTGGCAGAGGGAGGCCTCCAGCTTCAGTGGGCAGCGGAGTGTCAGGGCCATGACCATCTGACTGTGCTGGCTGTAGTCAGTAAAATGCACTGACTTCCAGAAGTCCGAGCCATCTGAGCGGGCGGCAGGTCAGAGGGTGAAGCCTAGGGAGGCCTCAGCCCTACTGCAGCCCCACCTTGCCACCCTCATGCCCAGGGCATCAGATGATATTTGTGAAAACACCCAGTGTGGTTCCTGGCCCAGCTGGGTACTCAACAATGAGCATCCCTTTTCCAGCCCCCTTGTATTACTTTTTCTATCCAGCTGTCTCCTCTCCTTCCTAGGCCTCCATTTTGACCAGATCCTCAAACTTGAAATCTTCACGTATCTGTCCTCCCGGAACGAGGAATGCCTTCCTCTCCCTTCTCTCCTTTCTAAAGCCTGAGTCCCAGCTCAGGTGCCACTTTCTATGAGACCTTCTCTGACCACTACAGCCTTCATGGTCTTCTCTCTTTCCTAAGTTCTTGCCCTACAGCCTACCTCTTAATTTTAACCCTGCCCTGTACTGCAGGCTATTTTGTGCTATTCACTGGCTGTGTTTGAGTGTCCAGTCTCTCCAACTTGAGGACAACAAGGTGTCTATAGTACTTTAGAAATCACCAAGCTTTATTTAATTCAAACCTCACAAACAATTTGAAAGTAAGGCAGGGCAAGGATCATTATTTCCATTTTACAGATGAGGAAACTGAGGCTCAGGGAAGATAAAGTGGCAGAGCTGAGATGTGAGTCCAGGTCTTGTGGCCCATTCTCTTAGGACACCACCTACTGTGTCTCATTTTCTGAATGCCTCACAGTGCCTAATACCATGTTTAATACTCTCTGACTTATTAACAGGCTGACTGGTAGACATGGTAGCTATGCCACTGCCCTTTCCCCACACTGGCTCCAGGGAAAGTGTTTGCAGGCCTTCTGGGGACCTCCTCCAACACCAGTGTGATGTGTGTGTGTGTGTGTGTGTGTGTGTGTGTGTGTGTGTGTGTGTGCGCGCGCGCGCGCGCGCGCGCGCAGAGACCGAGAGGTGTACAGGCACAAAATTGCATAGGAGCAGCACTCACAGGCTTCAGGCCAGCTCTGGAAGGGGCATTTTTTGTGCCTCACAGTGTCCTCTTGCAGGTAGGATGCCTGGGGAGATAGGGAACCAGGCAGGGAGGGTCTGGGGAGTGGCTTTTCCTATATAGCTCAGACGTAAAGCTCATTCTGCCTTTACCCGACCCTGGTGTAAGCTGTCTGAGCTGGCAGGGAACTGAGTTGGGGAGCAATGAGGAGTGCGGGGAAGGGTGGGTGGTGCTTGACATCTAGGGAAGGAACTCCAGAGAAGAGGAGAGAAATCAGCAAGTGAGGGGCTGACTCCTCTTCTGGAGAGAAGAAGCTATCCGGAGAATGAGGGAAATCTAGAAATCCACATTCTTTGATCTTTGGGCATCCCTGGCCTCCACTCTCAGCCATCCTCAAGGTGCCCAGTGCCCTGTGCTGGTCCTCACCTGGGACCGCCCAAATCCCCAACTGTCCACCCTCCTCCAGGTCTCTGCCTATACCCTCTCTTCCCTCTTTTCCCAGGTGACAAGGCTCCCTGCACCTTTCTGTATAATCCAAGGAAGTCTTAATGCTAGGTACCTCAGATGTATAAGGAGAGGAGAAGGGCTGTCATGGAGGGCTAGTGGGGAAATGGTTTTGAGGGTATATGTGGCCTTGCAGTGGCCACTCACCCCCGCTTTGACTCCCCAGAGCACACAGTGAAGGCAGCTGTCTATTCTGGACCAGGGAAAACCTGTATGTGGGTGGGGCCGAGGTTGGCATCACCCCAATAATGTTCTGTGTTCAGCAGGACCCTTCCATCTTGGATTCAGGGTGTTGCGCACAGCCAACCTGGTACCAGTCTTCCCAAGCATCTTGCTAACACCTGGTCCTTTTCAAGCCTGACTTACTGAAGATATGCTTGACCAATGGCAGTATCTGAGGGGCCTCGCAGGGGAGGCATGGACAACCCACACCATTTCCTCCGCTCACCTCTATGCACAGACAGGGCAGAAGGAATTCATAAGACAGGTCTACAGTGTGGCCCCCAGATACGATTTCCTGTTGACACAGCAGCAAAAGGAGAGAAGAAGAGATGCTTGAGAAAGGCCACAGGCACCCTGGACAAGGGCAGGAGGAAGGCAGGACCTTGGCCAACACACCCTACTTTTCCTCTGCTATGAGACTTATTTCTGCCATTGAGAAATTTTCTCTCAGGGGGCCTCTGCTCTGTAGTCTGGCCACTTGCTCTAGGTGTCTCAATATATGGGGGTGGGAGGAGACAGAGAAAGAGATAAATATTTATTGAGCACTTCCTGTGTGCCAGGCAGGTTGCTAGGTGCCAGAAGCAGTAACTCAAGTAAATCCCAGCATCGCAGTGACTTTGTGAGGTATCATCATCATTTTGTAAATGAAGAGAGCTGAGGACCCCAGGGGTATATCATTGGCCCCTGCAAATGTACCAGCTATATACAGGGGCATCTGTGAAAAGTGGAGGTTGATGTGGGATGTCAGGTCCTGGGCTGGGAGAATGGGGGACAGCCCAGAGGGCAGGAACAAAGATTGAAAGGGAGGGAAATAGAAGGATACCAAGACAGTTGTGACTAGTTTGTCATTCTCCTAGCCTCTTGCGGGAACTAAAAAGGCTTCTTAATGCTACTTAAATCACACTGAGTGTCCCTCTCCTTGGGAGTAAATACCGTATTCATTTCTCTGCTAGTCATTCATGGCGAGGTCTTGAGCAATTACATTCCCTCTCCAGGCCTTGGTCTCCCCATCTGTACAACAGGAAGACCCCCTGTGCTCTAGCACTGTGTGATCTAACTTTTTGCAGAGGGATGGCACTCCATACCTGAGTATCAAAGGGACTGCTCAGCTCTTCACACTCAAGTGCCCACTGGTGACAAAGACGCACGCTGACCTCAGGGCCTGGAGGAATGGCCACTCGAACAACTCGTGCCTCAGGCAGCAAATCAAAGGAGAACTCCGGCCCTGGGGAGAAGGAGGACTTGATGGCCTTGTCTCTTGGCCTTAGCATCTGAGTCTAGCACAGACATCACTACTTAGCAGAGCCCATCTCCCGCCACACCCATTCCTACTTATATGTCTCTGTGAGACCAGCTTCGGGAGACCTTCCTTTTCCTCTGGATCTGAAGGTTGGGTCCTTTTAGAGCGCAGCCCCTTGTGAGGGATGTGTGGGGAGGGGACAGAGATGTTATCCTTCTCAGACAGGCAACAGCTACCCAGCAGTTTCCTCTGTAAGCAGAGAACAAGGTTAGCCTTAGGCCAGGAGTCAGGAAACTTGGTGTCTTTCCTGCCTCTGGAACCTGAGGCACCACAGGCAAGTTGCTCAACGTGTTTTGACCTCAATTTCCTTAACTGTGTAATGGACAGAAGAATCTATTTCATCGCCACACTTCCCATCTCTCTCATGGCTGAAGAATAAAATGAAAGGCCAGAAGGGAAAGGGCTGTAGGGCACAGGGCTGGGCTGGAGCTGGCAGAGAGAGTACCTGGGCAGATGTTGGCAACCTGTGTCCCCTACAGAACTTCAGCCTGTAAGACTTTTTGGATTTCCGCACCAGGAAGTGGAACCAGCCCCACTGAAGGCCTGCAGGGAGAAGGAAGACACATTTACTACCCAGCCACTCTTGGCCCCCTCCCCTACCTGGAGATGTACCCCAATGTTAGATAGTAAGTCATTGTAGATAAAGGAGGAAAATGATGCCAAAGATTTTTAGTCCCAAAAGTTATAATACAATAAAAAGAGGAATAATTTCTTTAGTAGAGAAAAGGCTATATATAGCATTATTTATAATAGTGAAAAATTAGAAATTTCCAGTTCTTAAGCAGTATATTAAAAAGAACAGTTGTCGTCAAGTCAACTGCGACTCATGACAACCCCATGAGAACTGTGCTCCATAAGATTTTTTTTTAACATTTTACTGTGCTTTAGGTGAAAGTCTACAGATCAAATTAGTTTCTTCTATACAGAAATTGTTTAATTACATTGGATGCAATCCCTGCAACATGTCAGCATTCTCCTCCTTTCCATTGCGGGTTCCCCGTTTCCATTCATCTAGTTTTCCTGCCCCTTCCTGCCTTGTGATCGTTGCTTTTTGGCAGGTGTTGCCCATTTGATCTTGTTTACTTGCTTGATCTAAGGAGCACGTTCCTTACAGGTGTTATTGTTTGTTTTATAGGCCTGTCTAATATCTGGCTGAAAGGTGAACTTCGAGAGTGGCTTCAGTTCTGAGTTAAAAGGGTGTCTGTGGGCCATATTCTCTGGGGTTCCTCCAATTTGTGTCAGACCAGTAAGTCTGCTCTTTGCTCCATAGGGTTTTCAATGGCTGATTTTTTTTTTTTTTTTCATTACTGTACTTTAAATGAAGGTTTACAGAACTAGCTTTTCATTAAACAATCAGTACACATATTGTTTTGTGACATTGGTTGACAACTCCACGACATGTCAACACTCTCCCTTCTCGACCTTGGGTTCCTATTACCAGCTTTCCTGTCCCCTCCTGCCTTCTAGTCCTTGTTACTGGGCTAGTTTGCCCCTTTAGTCTCATTTTGTTTTATGGGCATGTCTAATTTTTGGCTGAAGGGTGAACCTCAGGAGTGACTTCATTACTGAGCTAAAAGGGTGTCTGGGGACCATTCTCTCAGGGTTTCTCCAGTCTCTGTCAGGCCAAGTCTGGTCTTTTTTTCGTGGGTTAGAATTTTGTTCTACATTTTTCTCCAGCTCTGTCCAGAATCCTCTGTTGTGATCCCTGTCAGAGCCGTCAGTGGTGGTAGCCAGGCACCATCTAGTCGTGCTGGACTCAGTCTGGTGGAGGCTGTGGTAGTTGTGGTCCATTAGTCCTTTGGACTAATCTTTCCCTTGTGTCTTTGGTTTTCTTCATTCTCCCTTGCTCCCAACAGGGTGAGACCAGTGGAGTATCTCAGATGGCCACTCACAAGCTTTTTAAGACCCCAGACACTACTTACCAAAGTAGAATGTAGAACATTTTATTTTATAAACTATGTTATGCCAATTGAGCTAGATGTTCTTCGAGACCATGGTCCTCGCAGCCCTCAGTTCAATGGCTGATTTTTCAGAAGTAGACCGCCAGGCCTTTCTTCCAAGATGTCTCTGTGGACTCAAAACTTCCAACCTTTGGGTTAGCAGCTGAGTGCATTAACTGTTTGTACCACCCAGAGACAAGCATTTAGTATGAACCAGGCACAGAGCTAGGCAATGAAAATATAGAGTTCAATGTTACAGAGGGTCCTACTTTACAAACAGAAAAGTAATAGTAGTAAATTCACAGAACTGAAAATTTTTAATCCCAAGAATCAGTACCAGCTGAAAAGAAAAACACCTTCACAAAATGATACAACTGAACTCATAAATATTTGAGTTGTTTCATGTTCTTTAAATCAAATAGGATGATCTAGGTTCATGCTGAGGTTGACAACAGGAGGACAAACATTTGTTCCAGTATGACAAGTCCCACTTGCTTCAGCCTAGGTACCCCCCTGTTCCCACTCCCCTACAACAGTCACATCTCCACTAAGAATGGGAGAATGGCCCCAGGGCTGTTTCTCATACCTGAAAGATCTGACATCACCCGGAGGCACAAATACCAAGCACAGTGCTGGACCTGAGCACACCAGGGCTTTGTGGAGAGAAGGAGGGCCAACCGGGTATGGCAAAGAGTATGGGCAGAGCTTCCTGTGAAAGATTAAAAGGAAATCCAGTGATATGGCCCAAGGAGGTCCCTCCTGCCTCAGACAAGCTGGACTAGGAACTGAGCTCTGCCAATGACATCCTGGAAGTGTGACCTTGGGCAAATTATGGTACTTCTTGAAGCCTCGGCTTCCTCATTCATAAAGTGGGGCTGTTGTAAAGATCAAGAAGGATAATGTGTGGGAACATGCTTTGTAAAGGAAAGCATCATAAAATATGACGGATTATTGTCTCTCTGTATTACTGATAAGAGTGAGGGACCAGTGAAGTGGGGAGCCAACATTTATTGGGTGCCTGGAGATTTACCCGTGACTCTCATTTAATCCTCCCTACAAGCACTGTCTTCATCAAACAATCATTTCTCCCACATTGCTATACTCCTCAGAACAGAGGCTCTAAGGGGGTTAAGTAAACTGCCTGAGGCCACACGTGGAGTCCTGAGTCCGTGGCAGGACAGCAATGCAAATCCAGGCTTGTCCTGATTCCAAAGCCTGTACTTTTTCCTTGATACTATACTACAAGCAGGGAACCAAAAATTAGAATGGAGGGCTTTGCTGGGGGATCTGGAACAAAAGAAGGTATGGGGAGGAGAAGTAGGGCAGGGAATGAAACTCACCAGACAAACTGTCATCCTGAAGGTACAGGGTCCAGCAGGAAAAAGAAAGGAGCAAGCTATTATTAGTAGGGATTCCGATAAGGAGCATTCTTCCTGAGGTCTTTGCTTCAAATCACCTATTTCTGAGGCCCATAAGCTAATAGCCCACGCACTCTGGTTCTTTTCTTTCCAGCTCCACCCTGCCCAGGTCCTTAGCGCACCAAGACTTTGGCTGCCCTTGGAGATGGTATAGAGGACTGCAGAGGCTGCCACCAGAGCACAGCAGGGGCTGGGAAGGTAGGAAAGGGCAAGCAGGCAGGGGAGCAGAGAGCTTGACCAGCCTGTGCTGGGTAGGTGTCTCCAACTGGCAGCGGCACCTTACCATGTGGGAGGCCAGCAGACAGCGGGTGCTCCAGCAGGGCAGGTAAGGGGAGCCAGTCCTGACAGTGGAGGCAGAGAGGTCGATGAGAAGCAGGAGGGAAGGCAGGAGCAGTGCTGCCCGTCTGGGGCACCCCATGGGCTTCTGTGGGATCAGGGTACCCAGAACATGGCTGCACGGCCTGAAGGTGGGCGGCAGGGCTTTGCTGTGCCACAGCAGCGAAGAGAGTGGTGCCAGCCAGAGCCCAGCCTTGGCCTGTCCCTGCCCCGCCCTGCCCCAGAGCTCCTCCTTGATCCTAACCAGCCGGCCAGGCTACATTCCTTCTCCTCCAAGTGGAGGGACTGAGGGACCCCGACCCCCAGAAAACACTACTACCCTCTTCAGAAAGGCGAGGGGCTCCTGCTGTGGCAGAGAAGGAGCAGGAAAGGGGCCAGCACCCTGTTGGAGAGGGGTAGCAGGCTGTACCCATTTCTTAACCCCTCCTACTCCTGAAACTGTCTGCAGATCTGACCCGCCCATTAACACACTCTTGGACTTGAGTATCCCCTGGACACGTACACTATTGTGCACTGGGTGTTGGGGATACAGAGGAAACTGAGGCGTCATCATTTAGAGTTGGGCAGAAAAAAACAAGCTCTATAAGACACACTTAAATCTCACATGCCTCCATGCCCTGACCCCACCTGGCTGACTCTCAGGACTGCTCTTCCTGCTTTCTCTCTACCCTCCAGCCAGTTCCAGCTATTCTGAGCAAACAGCTCCAGGTCAAAGGGGTCTCCAGCTGCAAGGACCCACTCATCAGTACAGCCTGCTCAGGAAGCCCCAGACTCACAGCTGAGCTAGGAGCAGAGGGAGTGGGCCCCACGCAATGACCTGGTTTCCTGTGGTTTCCGGTGCTGGAGAAAGGCTGACGAGGCTCCAGCCTTTGTGGGGACCCTCCCCATCATCCCACAGCTTCCTCCCGCATAAACGGAGCGGAGCGTTTGAGCTACTTCAGCCTTCACCTTGGTGACACATGCAGTGGAAAGCTCGGAGCACACCTACTGGGTTAAAGCATCTTGCGATTGTTATTGTCCCTCTGCGACTCAACACAGACCACCTTCACTAGCCTGACCACAGCCTTATTTAGGCCAATTCTAGTTCCCAAGTGTGAAGGTCCTATGCCATCCATTATACTAAAAATACCTTCTAGCTCTGAGTTCTTTAAAAGATAAGGATCCTTTCTGATTCTTTGTTTCCCCAATGCCTAGCAGTGGATGTTCTGAAATAGGTGCTCAGTCTCTGAATAAATGTAAATTATAACACATTTCATCTAAGTAACAGTTCATCTGTTTCACATTTCACAAAGCACTTTCATCCTCCTAACCACATTGGGAGACAGGTAAGTGAGAAATGTTTTCATTTTATAACAAGAGAAATAGGCAAGCAGAAAGGAAAGTGATTTGGTCAAAGTCTCTAGCCCAGGGAGCTCCAGTTCTACCAGCCCCTCCCAGCCCAAGTCTCTCTACATCCTTATTGCTTTCCTTCCCACTGCCTCATCTCCCTCTGCTCCTCGGAACCAAAAACAGTCTGCCTGATGCAGCACTATCTTTTGGTCTTGGAGCCCATCACCGTAAACAAATCAATAAGACCTGAAAGGAGGAAAGTGTGGTCTGGCCAGACTAAGGATGGGTTAGGGGGCCTTCCCCCAAAGTTCATGTAACCGACCGTGGTTTAGATCTACACAAATTATGAGTTGTCAGTGCCAGGGCATGAAGTGAGAAAACTGATTCCATTCTAGAATACTCCTTCTTGACCCCTTATATCCTCTGATCTGATTCTCACAGTGAAAATATTCAGTTACCTGTACTTGCTCCCTGACCCTGGTTAAGGTATGGTAGGAGAGGCAGAAGAAGAAAGAAATGGAGACAAAATAATAATAAAAAGAGGAAAAGGAAAAGGAATAACAATGAGGAAGAAAGAGGGAAAGAACAGAGAACAGACAAGGAGGTCCACGTTTTATTTATTTTCTTGCTGGATTACTTATTGTGGAACCTGTTCCAAAAAGGATTTAAGGTAAAAAGTACAACCTGGGGAAGGGGAGGGGATGTGGTCAGTATTTGCCAAACTCCTACAAGGCCCTAGCTCCGCCCACTTTATCTCATTTAATTAGTACTTGAGGTCAGTCTTATTACCCCATTTTAGACAGTAGGAAACACACTCAAGATTAATTTGTACAAACATACTCAGTTAAGTAGAGAGCTGGGACCCACCACCCTATCCTTCTGGCTCTTTCTGCCAGAACACACTGCTTGGGGAGATTTGTGGCAAGTCAGAGGGTTTCTGGACCCTATAGTCCAGAGGTTGGACTAGATTTAGTAGAGTGATATAGTTGGCAGGGTTAACAGTGTGAAGAAATTGGAAAGGCTGGAAAGAACAAAGGAAAGTAGATCTTATAAAGGTGAGTTATCAGTGGTCAGACTTCTAAGAGAGCAGGGGTTGTTTGGCAAGTGTCAACAAGGGTGGAGTAATTCTGCGGCTGGAATAGGAGGCGGCCAAATGGATAAAGGCAACAGAGGCGTGCTGTAGGCCTTCAGCACAGATGCCCTGTCCTCTTGGAAGGCACTGAGGCCTGTCTCACCTGTGGCTTGTGTCTGAACGAGCTGACCCAGCCTTCCTGCTCTAATAACCTTTTCTTGGGGAACAAGCCAGGAGCTCAGAGGGTCTGGCAGTCCCCTACATATGCTCAGATACAGAGTAAACTGTGGGGCCTTGGTAGCCGTTTTTCTTGTCATAGTGTTACCCATGCAGGGACTCTGGTCAGATCACTGAGCAGCAGCTCCAGGCTGTTCCTGTAATGGCCAATCCCTAAGGTCTATTGGGGCAATGGTGCCCACTGTTAGGGCACCTCGGGCAAGAAGGTCCAATCAATTAGACCAATGTAAACCAAGAGTGGACAAGTGTCCCTTCCTTACTTCTACTCTTCCAGAAGGGATCAACCTCCAGAATCCAGAGGCAAGAAATTATGCCTAAGAGGCAGGGAGTCCCACTCTCAGAGGGGAAGCCAACGCTGCTCATGAAAGGAAGGGATTCTGATATTAAGCATCTACTAGACTGTTCATATATATTATCTTATTTAATCCTCACAACAACTGTGGGAGGTAGCTAATATGATCCACGAGTCAAACCAAAAACAGAGGCTCAGGTATCTTGCTCAAGGCAAAAGGTAGAACAATGCCTGGCTAGCATTCTAACCTAAGTCAATCTAATTTCTGAGTTCATCCCACTATACCACTCTGCCTTTCTCATGGACCGGACAACCTCTGAGGGCCTCTCCAACTCCTACATTCTCTAGTTCTGTAAGCATCAGGGGAATAATAACCATCCTTTACATTTAGTACATATTGTTATTGTCATGGATTGAATTGTGCCCCCAAAAACACTTGTCAACTTGTCTAGGTCATGATTCCCAGTATTGTATGATTGTCTACCATTTTGTCATCTGATGTGATTTCCCTGTGTGTTGTAAATCCTATCACTGTGATGTAATAAAATGGATTAGCGGCAGTTATATTAATGAGATCTACTAGATAGTGTCTTAAGCCAATCTCTCTTGAGATATAAAAGAGAGAAGCAAGCAGAGAGACATGGGGACCTCATACTACCAAGAAAGCAATGCTGGGAGCAGAGCGTGTCCTTTGGACCTGAGGTTCCTGCGCTTAGATGCTCCCAGACCAAGGGAAGACTGATGCATCACAAGGACCTTCTTCTAGAGCCAACAGAGAGAGAAAACCTTCCCCTGGAGCCAGCACCCTGAATTCAGACTTCTAGCCTACTGGACTATGAGAGAGTAAACTTCTCTTTGTTAAAGCCATCCACTTGTGGTTATTTCTGTTGTAGCAGCACTAGATAACCAAGGCAGTTACATAGTTCAGAGCCCTGCTGACACAGTGGTTAAAAGGTCAGCTGCTAACACAATTGGAAGAGCGCAATCAATGTCACTGAACTGTGCATATAGAAATTTTTGAAATGGTGTATCTTTGGCTATGTGTATTTTCACCAAAAAAAAAAAAAGGTTGAGAAGTTAGAGGGTTGATATGTTGTGGGGTTGTTAACCAATGTCATAAAAAAACGTGTACTACTGTTTCACAAGAAACTATTTGTTCTGTAAGCCTTCACCTGAAGTACAATTAAAATAAATAAATAAAAAGGTCAGCTGCTAAGCAAAAGGTTGGCAGTTCAAATTCACCAGCCACTCCCTGGAAACTCTATGGGGCAGTTCTACTCTGTCCTATAGGGTTACTATGAGTTGGAATTGACTCAACAGCAATGGGTTTGGTTTGGGTTTTTTTGTTTACATAATTCACAAAGTACCTTCACAATACTTCACCATATTTGATCTTCAAAACAATCCTGTGAAATAGGTAGGGTTGATCTTAGATCTATGATTAGCGAGTAGGTTGGTACTTGAACCGCAGTCTTCTGTCCCAAATATACTAAATTCCATTAAATCAAGATTCCTTTCAAAGGGGATCTTGTTTGCTTCAGTCACTACAAACATGAGGTAGGAAAAAATGACTGGAAAGGCCCATTGTCTTAGGCTGGGTTCTCTAGAGAAGCAAAAGCAGTAAAGTGTATAAATATCTATATAAAGAGATTTATATCAAGGAAATGGCTCAAGCAGTTGTAGAGGCTGGAATGTCCCAAATTTGTACATCAGGCTGGAGCCTTCTCCTGATTCGTTTAGCCACAGGGGATAGTGAACCCAAGATTAACTGGTCAGACAGCAGGGCTCTTGCTCACAGGCTGCGAAAACTGACAAATTCTAAGATGAGCAGGCAAGACTGCAGGTAAGCTGCTAGCTCAAGTCCCAAGAACCAGAGATCAGACAAGCAGGATCCAGAGCTAGCAAAAACCCTGCTGTCTGACATGCTGATCTTGGGTTCACCAGCCCCTGAGGCTACATGAATCAGGAGAAGCCTCCAGCCTGATCTACAGATTTGGGAAGTTCCAGCCTCTACAACTTCGTGAGCCATTTCGTTGATATAAATCTCTTTATATAGATATTTATATGCTTTACTGGTTTTGCTTCTCTAGAGAACCCAGCCTAAGACATTTGGTACTGGGAGTAGGGTGCTGTTCTAACAGATACCTAAACTGTGGAAGCAGTTTTGAAACTGAATGCATAGAGTCTGGAAGAGTTTTAAAGTGCCTAATAGTAAAGGCCTAGATTGAACTGAAGAGAGCGTAGGTGAAATTATGGACATCAGAGACAATTCTGGTGAGGACTCAGAAGGAAATGAGGAGAGCTGTTACACTGGTGACAGCAGAGATGGTGAGAAGCAGCAGCAGAGAATTGGCAGCTGCAGAACCGGGAAACCAGCACGAGACAGCACTGGAGCCGACCCACGGAGCAAGAGAACTGAGTGCTTTTGCAAAGGAGGCTTCCTGGCAGAGTGGGGTGCCTTCGAGCACTTATCGGTGGAGCTAAAGAGCTTTGGAACACTTGCCCCAGCAAGGCAGACGTGGGCAACAAGGCCTGAGGGGCTGAGAGGCCAAGGAACCAGGAAGCAGAAGCTGAAGAGACAAGGAACACAGGAAGCAGAGCTTCCCAAGTCTCAAAGGGTGGAGTCGCCACTCAGAATGGACTAGGAGAATGGGGCTGCCTAAAGCCAAGGGAGCAGAGTTGCCGTTCCAGTGGGCCTGGAAGGCAGAGCTGAAGCCCAGGGCTGAGGGGGCTCCATCCAGAATCAGGAGAGTGTGGCCAACACTGAGTCTGGAAGGCAGGGCCATTGCCTAAATAGTCTCAGAGAATATTCTTTTCAAGCCTTGAGAGCTAATGTAATGTGTTCTGCTGACTTGCTTGGTGCCTGTTACCCCTTCTTTCCCTCCAATTTCTCTCATTTGTAATGGAAATTTCTACCTTGTGCCTGTTCAACTATTGTACTTTGGAAGCAGATAACTTGTATTCTAGATTTCAGAGATGAAGAAGAATTTTTAGATTTTGGACTTGGAGTTGATTTAAGACTTTTGCTATGATATGATGGGGTGAATGTGTTTTACGTGTGGCAAGGACATGAATTTTTGGAGGCCAAAGATAGAATGTTATGGATTGTGTCCCCCAAAAATGTGTGTCAACTTGGTTAGGCCATGATTCCCAGTACTGTGTGACTGTCTACCATTTTGTCATCTGATGTGATTTTCCTATGTGCTGTAAATCCTACCTCTGTGATGTTAATGAGGTGGGATTAGCAGCAGTTATGTCAATGAGGCAGGACTCAGTCTACAAGATTAGGTTGTGTTTTAAATCAATCTCTTCTGAGGTGTAAAAGAGAGAAGCGAGCAGAGAGACATGGGGACCTCATACCACCAAGAAACAAGAGCCAGGAGAAGAATGTGTCCTTTGGAGCTGGGGTCCCTGTGCTGAGAAGCTCCTCAACTAGGGAAGATTGATGACAAGGACCTTCCCCCAGAGCTGGCACCCTGAATTCGGATTTCTAGCCTCCTAGACTGTGAGAGCATAAATTTCTCTTTGTTGAAGCCATCCACTGGTGGTACTTCTGTTACAGCAGCACTAGATAACTGACACACCCATATATGCAGATACAAATGACAAAACAAGCAGAAAACTAAAATATACCAAATAGGTTTTTTTTTTTTTATCCTGCACTATTGACAGTAATTTTTGTAATAGGTCTTTAAAGGTACACTAAGACCATAAAATATCATTCAACTAATCAGAGAAATTTTAACTTAATTTTTTTTTTAACTACTATTTTGCATCCTAACACTTTGAAAATTAGCAGTCTGTGCCTTGTGCACATGGTAACTCCATTACCCACTGTCTCAGGCTGGGTTCTCTAGCAAAACAAAACCAGTGAAGTGTGTGTATATATATATATATATAGAGAGAGAGAGAGAGAGATTTATCTTAAGGAAATGGCTCACATGTTGTAAAGGCTGGCAAGTCCCAAGTCTGTGGGTCAGGCATCAGGCTGGAGGATTCTCCTGACTCACGTAGCTGCAGGGGTTGACAAACCCAAGATCGGCAGGTTGGATGTAAGGCTGCTGGCTCACAGGCTGTGGAGGCCAACAAATCCCAAGATCAGCAAGAAACATGGCAGGCTGCTGGCTCAAGTCCCAGGAACCAGAGGTCAGATGATGACAAGCCAGCTGCAGGATCCAGAGCAAGCAAAAGCCAGCGAACTTTGCTAGAACATCCATATATATTGGCTGCAGGCCTAGGACCCGAGGAAACTCCCCTTACAACTGACTGATCATATCATAGCAGTGATTATATCACAAAACAGAGGATAACTACATCATTCCATGACTGTCAAATTACATCATTACATAACTGCCAAACCACTGAGTATCATGGACCAGCAAAGTAGAAACACAACCTTAACCATCACAGTCCATTTCTTGTCAACTTGGCACCTGTACACATCTCCTTAAACCATACACAGCCTCTAAATGCAATTACAAAGTCATATGCGCCTAATGTGATACAACTAACGTGTACAAGCAAAAACACACCAGTCCCATTCACATCTTATATAAGTGAAAACAAAAATATTTGATGCATACATACAAGGAAGGAATACTCATAACAGTTCTCATTTCTGCAACTGGTCACGTGGTCTTAACTGGTATTTAGAACTACCTTCTTCTACCACCCATTCCATATTCCCTTTGCCCTCAGCAAGCACCTCAGCTGGTCATGATTCTGTGCATGGTGGAGTGACCCAAACCTTCATTCCTGAATGGTCTGGCCCTTTAGTAGTCATGTCAGAATTGGATTGTTGCAGTTTTCCATTGACTTTAATCACAGGGCATGGTAGTACTAAGAGACATCCTAATGGATCTCCTGTATTCCAGACATATTCCTCTTTATCTCCATTATGTAATATCAATCCAATTTCCCCTTGGTAAACAGGATTAACCACACCAGCCAATACAGTAACTCCTTTCTTTGCCTGTTGATCCAGAGGCATAAGGAGCCCATAGTGGCCGGGTGGCATTCTCAACTTCCAGTGCAATGGAATCAGTGTTGTATCTCCTGGTGGGAGCATTCCTCGCTTTGGAACTAAGATCTCTAGACCTGCAGAGCATAGGGTCATGGGGATAGGAAGCAAAAATTTTGTGAGTGGGTCACTAAAGGTAGTACTGAGTGGTGCCACTCCCATTTCCACCCCTCGATTCCTGGACCCATGAATCCTGGCTATGGGAGAAAAAGCACCATATATTGGATGCCGGTTTAGAGCACATACAGCTTATTGATCTGTCAGTGGTGATACTGTGTGTATTTCTATTGCCACCTCACGCCACAGATTAGTAGTGCCCTCTTTACACTTGGAAGCAGAGTCATCAACCTCTTTAAGACTAACCAGACTTGAGAACCATTTAGAGGACTCATCCTTACAATTTTGTTTCTCTAGAACCACTCTCAGTACCAAATATCTTAGGCTGGTTCTCTAGAGAAGCAAAACCAGTGAAGTATATGCATATATACATATGGAGAAAGAGATAGAGGGAGGGAGGAAGAGAGAGAGAGAAAGATTTCTCTCAAGAAAATGGCTTACACAGTTGTAGAGGCTGGCAAGTCAAGTTCATGGGTTAGGTGTCAGGCTAGAGGTTTCTCCTGACTCACATATCTGCAGGGGCTGACGAACCCAAGATCATCACATCAGACAGCAGGCTGCTGGCTCACGGGCTGCAAAGGCTGATGAATCCAAGATTGGTAGGTAAGATGGCAGGCTGCTGGCTCACAGGCTGCAGAGGCCGATGAATCCCAAGATTGTCAGGCAATATGGCAGGATGCTGGCTCAAGTCCCAAGAACCGGAGGTCAGAAGATGACAAGCTGGATGCAGGATCCACAGCAAGCAGAAGCCAGCAAGCTTTGCTAGAATGTCCATATATATTTGATGCAGGCCACACCCCTGAGGTAACTCCCCTTACAAATGACTGGCTGATCACATCATGGCGGTGATTACATTATATTACAAAATGGAGGATAACTACATCATGACTACCAAATTACATCATTACATAACTGCCAAACTACATTATTACATAACTGCCAAACCACTGAGAATCATGGCCCAGCCAAGTTGAAATATGTTAACCATCACACTCATACATTTCCATTCTGCTCCTCTTTGCTTCTCCAAATTTTACTCCTGCTAGATTCTTTATTCAGTGAAATATATCCTGGCTTTAGCCTATATAAGGCCAAGTTATTCCATTCAATAAAATCCGAGTGCACACTACATGCTAGGCACTGAGCAAGTGGTGAGGAAAAAACATGCAAATTAATAATTCTATCAATCAGAAGGAAAATAAAAATGTCACATGAATTCAGAGAAAGAACTCTCACTCCTTGAAGGAACCATAACTACCATATGAGCTGGACCTCAACAGATAAGCAGTAAAGAGGTGTAAAAGTAGGAAAGGGAATTTTTTAAGCAAAGAAAAGAAAACTGGGAAAACATGAAATCTATTTAGGGATCCATAAGAGGTTCAGTTGACTAAATAGTGTGTATCAGGAGATAAGGCTGAACTGGTGGACTGAGACATTTTGGAAACATATGAGATTAAGGAATTTTGGTGGCTACAAAAATAATGGCACATAGTGGGGACTCAGTGATTAGGGAAGAGATGATGATTCAGAGTGATGCTTTCGTATACTCACTTATACACAGGGATGAAGGAGGAGAAATGAGTATGAGGTAGAAGGCAAAAAGTTAAATTCTGAACACATGAGCTTTAGATGGTAACCTGGACATCTAGAAAGGTTGTGATGTTAGAAGTACTGCCAGTACCTGACCGTGACTAAGGACATACAGGATGTTTACAGAGTAAAATAATGACTAAAACTTTGGAGAGGGCAAAACTGCAGTTACAGAACTGAGAATCTTCCAGAGGTGATAAAGTCAAAGCAGATAACAGCAAAGGTACACATCTTATATGCAATAAATATTTACTGTGTCAGATTTTTAGGTGTGAAAGGAAGGACCTTTAGCTCAATCACAGATATCTTTCCCTCTTTTTTTTTCATTGTGGTAAAAACATATAACATTTGCCAATTCAACAATTCTTACAGGTACAATTCAGTGACATGGATCACACACATCATGTGTCACCATTACCACTATGAATTTCCAAATTACTTCACCACCATCAACAGAAACTCAGTGCTCCTTAAGCAATGACTTCCCCTTCCCTCTTCCTGCCACCTCTGGTAACCACTAATAAGCCTTGGTCTCTATGTATTTGCCTTTGCTAATTACTTTTAACTTACCTGCTCCACACCATTACATGCTGTATTCATTGTTTCACATGTATATTATGTTTCACCTAGATTGCAAGCGCCCTACTATCAGGTATACCCTAAAATTCTTTTGGGTACCATAATACGGTATTAGACACATAACTGACTCTTAATTGGGTATTAATACTGACTGATATATATGAATACCCAATTAAGAGTCCATAATCCAAGCTGAATAAATGAGAATGGACCATTTTATAGATGGAGAGATTAAATGTCTGGTTCATGGTGGTTTTTGCCCATCAGCTGCAGGGCTGGAATTATGATTTAGGTTCCCCACGTCCAGTCCACTTCAGTATGGCCACTGCCAAGCTCCTCAGGAAACCTCTGCTCATCTCCTAGTGTCTAAGGCCACACAAGCAACACGTCTTTCACAATCTATCAAACCCCAAACACAGGGCACAGGATGGACAGGGCAGTCATGCTTTATTGAGATACTCAACATTATTGAGATTTTAATTAAAATGCTTTGCAGCAGAGACCACAGCCAGCAGGGGGAGCAGCCTCTCAAACATTTCCTGACCCACAACCCATAGATCGAACTAGAATTTAATTTATTCTCTATCTCCTTCAGTCTTGGTGGTTAAGGGGCGATGGATGGAAGTAGAAAGAATGGCCATGGGGAGGCAAGGATGAGGCTCAGTCTTAAAGAAAAATTCTGAAGGGCCTCAACTTCAACTAGCTGAAGGCAAGTGTATGTTTCACAGCTGTTGGTCACCCAGTTCTAGGCAACCAAACCCAGGAATAAATTAAAAATAGTTTTGCGACCTCAGCTGATGGCAACAGGAGAGGCTTTTGTGAACTTGGACCTACTCTGTACTAGCTGCCAATATCACAAGGCAGAGATCAGAGATTTTAGAACAGCTGTCTCACTCTGCTCAGTGGGAGATCCAGGCTTCACCCCACAGAGCAGTCCACCAGGTAGGCCTCTTCATTTACGCTTCTTCTCCTGCGTGCTGGTGAACCAAGAGTCTAGGAGCTTCTTGCTGTAGTACAATTGCCAGGCATGCACTTGGACCGCCAGCACCAAAACCAGGTACATGACAGAGACGGCAGAAAAACCAAAGAGGAAGCGGTAGGCCTTGCCATGACGGTAGAGCTGCTGTGCAGCAGGGAACATCTCCATGCTGCCATAAATGAGGGGAGCGATGGAAAAGAGACCCATGCTGATCATGGAGAGCACCAGGTAACTAATGTTGTTGCGTGGGAAGGAGAGAAGGCCCAAGAGAGAGGGCACGATGCTCAGTAAATATGGGTACTCCCACTGATAGGGCATAGCCACCTGGTCATGTGGCAAGAGCCTCAGGTGTCCCACGCTCATCTTGGCAACCAGCAGCAGCCATATGACCAGATGCACGTAGATCAACTTCTTGATTTCATACTTGAGAGTCACACTGTGGGGCAGAGCAGAGGGAGAAGGATCTTTCACTCAAAAATTTCTAACCACCAACTATACATCAGGCAACTATACTAGACACTGGATACAAACATGAATAAGATGGAGTTCCTACCTGGAGGCTAGGCACAAGGAACAGAGAAGGAAAAAATAATTAGAAAAAGAGGTGGAAAAGCTCTAGTAAATATATGTTCCAAGATATACGGGATCACAGAGGAACCAGTATGTAATCAGTTCTGCCTGGAATGGGATGTCAGTGAAGACTATCAAAAGGAGGGTGATATTTGAGCTACGCTCTGAGAGATGGCTGGAGGGTGGGCATTCTATTCAGAGGTAACAGCATCAGGCAAAAAAGTATAAGCATTTGTGTTCCAGGAAAGCAAGTGGTTGGGAGTGGCAGGAACACAGTGTATGAAGAAGGGGAGTAGTGGAGTATGAAATTGCAATGACTATTAAGGAGTCCATATAAAGGCAAATAAATAACACTCAGAGCTGTGTTTATAAAGATGATTTTGAGACATGGTAAGAGTATACCCTAGAGGGAGGTTACTAGTAGCAAGGAAAACAGCTCAGGCTGCCCATACTTCTCCAGGTAGAGTACATTTTTCATCTAAGGGAAGTACGTATTTCTCTTACCCTTCTAGTTCTCTATGGATCCTCCTCACAGCCCAAAAGCAGTGTTTCTGCTCTGGGCAGGCATGAAAACACTTAACTGGGTTGTGAAAAGAATGACGATGAAATTAATGGAATGACAGTCCAAAGGGTGTGTCATTCTTCAAAACTCTGGAGAGAAGGATGTAAAGATCATTCTGGGAGAGTTCAAAGGGTTTACAGGAGGAATTTTTAAATATTCATTATATAAAATGCAGAAAAGTAGAAAGAAAAAAAAAATCATCCAGTCACCTCTAGGCTTCAAGTTCCAAGAAGGCAGGGACCAGCTTTTTGTTGCTGTTGTTTTTAATAAACTTTTGTTATTGAAGATATGCATACAGACATCATGTCTGGTTTTGCTCACTATTATATTCTCAATGCCAAGCTCAATAAATATCTGTTGAACGAATAAACGAATGGAAAAATAGCTTTTACTTGGGGGTGTTTATAAAATTCTTTTTAGGCAAGGAAAGCCTGCTCCCTTTCCAAAAAAAAAAAAAAAAAAACAAAGCCCAAATATAACCACCACCACGTATTGGGCAGACTCGTACAATGTGCTAGGCCTTATGCTCCGTCTTTCACACCAATTATCTCACTCATTTTTTTCCCCAAAACCTAAAGGTAAGCAGAGGAGCCCTACTGCGCAATGGTTAAGCGCTTGGCTGCTGACCTAAACGTCGTCAGAGGTTTGAACCCACCAGCTGCTCCACGGCAGAAAGATGTGACAGTTTGCTTCTGTAAAGATTACAGCCTTGGAAACCGTATGAGGCAGTTCTACTCTGTCCTACAGGGTCGCTATGAGTTGGAATCCACTCGACGGTAATGGCTTTGGTTTGGGTTTTTTAATGGTAAATACGATTATTTTCTCCCATCACAGATAAGGAAACTGAGGCTCAATTACAAATTAGGCCTAAGGTCGCACAGCCGGGCCACGATGACGTGACTACGGAGCCCACGCAAGGCTGGACCCCTTTAAGACACAGGGCGGATCAAGGGGTGGAGCTCGCGGGGGCCACTGGGCTTCCCGGGGTTGGGGACAAGCCCGGGGGCGTCAGGGGAGGAGGGGGCTTGGCAGGTGCGAGGGGGTTGGCTGGGGAGTAAGACCGCCGAGGCCGGGAGGGCGTAGCTCCAGGCCCGCGGGCTCCCGCCGAGAGGAAGACTTCCGTGCACCAAGCCTCACTTCATACCTCATCTGGTAGTGCATGGCGACGCGCTCCCGGTGCTGAAAGTCGCTGCCGTCGGTGCCGGCCGCTCGCGGGCCTGCCCGAGACGCCATTGTCCCCGTCCAGAACTCTGAAGTCCCTCACACCAACGCGCTGCCGCGACCACCGCGACAAACCACCTGCAGACTCAGTTTGCGCCGCCTCAGCTCATCTGTCCCAACGGCAGCACCATTCCGTAAGGACTTCCGGCCTCTCTATCTCGGGAGGGCCGACTCTGTGGCCACTCGCCCGGCGCACGCGTCCTCGCTCTCTCTTGGCCCGGCCCTGCCCCGCCTCTCCGCTCACCAGCTCGTCGAGTGGAGTGATGAAGGGAATGTATCCAGAGCTTTGGCATCGTTTGCAATCTGCTTAAAGCCCTCTCGAGCACTTTCTTAAACTCTAATATGAATTTAAGACGTCACTGTCCCCACTTCACAGATGGTGAAACTGATGCTTGGAAGAGCCCTGTGACTTTCCCACTAGCCCGTATCAGGCACGCAGTCCCGAAGTATCGCCCCACAGAATACTTGACCAGTAATGAGACAAAATGACACCTTGTGCCTCCTGGTACACTGAGAACACGGCATTACTTCTGTGATATTCCTGCCAAAAATACTAACCTGAATCTAATCCTGAGTAAATGATAAAACCAGAACCAAACCAGTTGCTGTGGAGTCGGCTCTGACTCATGGCGACCCCATGTGTGTCAGAGTTAGAACTGTGCTCCATGGGTTTTTAATGGCTGATTTTGTTGTTGTTGGAAGTAGATTGCCAGGCCTTTCTTTCAAGGGACCTCTGGGTGGACTTGAACCTCCAAGCTTTTGCTTAACCGTTTGCACCACCCAAACACTCCTGAAGAAATGATAGATAACCCTAAATTGAGGAACGTTGTACAAGATAGCTGGACTGTACTTTAAAAAAATGTCAAGATCATCACACCATGCGCCAAAACTAACTCAAATTGGATCAAAGACCTAAATGTTAAAGCTATAACTAAAGTTTCTGGAAGTTAATATAGGAACAAAGCTAGGGGACCTAATTTTTGGCATAGCCTATCAAACACAAATAAAAATGCACAAACAACAGAAGATAATTTAGATAACTGGGACCTCCTAAAAATTAAAAACTTATGCTCATCAAAAGATTTTACCAAAGAGTAAAAAAGAGAACCTACAGACAGGGTAACAAATCTTTCGCAATGACACATCTGACAAGACTCTAATCTCTAAAATATATAGAAAACTTAAACAACTCAATAACAAAAAGGTAAATAATCCAATCAAAAAATGGGCAAAGAACATGAACAGACACTTCACCAAAGAGGACATTCGGATGGCCAAAAAATACATGCTCACGATCATTAGCATTAGAGAGATGCAAATCAAAACTATAATGAGATACCATCTTAGCCCTGCAAAATGGCAATGATTACAACAACAAATGCTGGTGAGGTTGTGAGGAGACTGGAACTCTTATACAGTGCTGGTGGGATTGTAAAATGGTACAACTACTATGGAAGATGGTATGGTGCTTTCTCAAAAAGCTAGAAATAGAAATACCTCATGATCCAGTAATCCCACTCCAAGGTATGTATCTAAGAGATATAAGAGCAGTGACACAAATGGACATATGCACACCTATGTTCATTGCAGTATTATTCACAATAGCACAAAGATGGAAACAACCTAAGTGCCTATCAACGGAGGAATGAATAAACAAATTGTGGTACATACATACAATGGAATACTACACAACTATAAAGAATAATGAAGAATCTGCAAACCATCTTATAACATGGATGAGTCTGGAGGACATTATGCTGAGTGAAATACATCAATCACAAAAGGACAAATATTGTATGGTGCCACTGTTATAAAAGTCAAGAATAGATATACACAGTGAAAGAAACGTTCTTTGATGGTTACCAGAGATGGGAGGGGTAGAGAGGAGAAATCACTTTCTAGATAATAGACACTTGTTATTTTTGGTGATGGGAAAGGCAATACCAAATATGAGTGAAGTCTGCACAACTTGACCAAGACGAAGACACTAAGAATACACAAGAAAAAGGGACAATTTTGGTAAATGCTGTAACATATACAACTTTGCAACAACAGTAATAACAACCAAAAATATGTGTGTGGTTACATAGGTACATATGTACGCATATACGCGTATAGGAAGGAATATGTGAAAGCATGCACGTGTATGTATAGGTGTATCTGTAGGTATATGTATATACATGTTTGTGTGTGCTGCATGTACAATCATATATAAAATTAAGCACATAGAGGACACAGTTACCAAGACTTCCTAGACATAGCTAAACAACTTACGGGATTGGGTTACTGAGTCAAAAGGGTGGGGACCATAGTCTCATGGGATAATTTAGTCAATTGGCATAACATAGCATAAAGTTAATGTTCTATACCCTAGTTTGGTGAGTAGTGTCTGGGGTCTTAAAAGCTTGTAAGCAGCCACCTAAGATACAACTATCAGTCTCCACTTATCTGGAACAAAAGAGAATGAAGGAAACCAAAGACTCAAAGAAGAAACTAGTCTACAGGACTAATAGCCCACAGGAACCACAGCCTCTTCTAACCGGAGACCAGAAGAACTAGATGGTGCACAGCCACCATTACTGACCGTTCTGACCAAGGACATAGAAGGTTTAAGATAGAATGGGAGACAAATGTAGAACAAGACTCAAATTTCTGAAAAAGGCCAGACCTACTGGACTAATAGAGACTAGAGGAACCGCCCTAAGATACCCTGTGAACTTGGCACTAAAGCCACTCCTGGAGGTCACTTTTCAGCCAAATAATAGATTGTTTTATAAAATAAATAATATCACCCGTGAGTAATGTGTCCCTAAAACAATCAACTATATGAGACCAAACGGTCAACATTTACCCAAAACCAAAGATGAGAAGGCAAGGAGGACAAGGGAAGCTAGGTGAATGGGAACAGAACAAACAGAATGGAAATAATGAGAATGCTGACACATTGTGGAAATTGTAACCAATGTCACAGAGCAATTTGTATAAAAATTGTTGAGTGGGAACCTAATTTGTTGTGTAAACTTTCCCCTAAAACACAGTAAAATATTTTTTAAAATGTCAAGATTATGGAAGAAAAATAAATTATTTCAAAATAAAAATTTATGTTATCTGAAGAAAGAAAACATGTACTTAGCATCCACTATGCCCCACGATACTATGCTAGGATCTGGGGATCCTGAAATGAAACATATATATTCCCTGTCCCCTGAGGGATCACAGCCCAGTGGGGGAAGGAACTTACACCCATGAAGTTATGGAAATAAGATGATCAGTGCTTTGAGAGGAGGAACCATAGGAGGCCGAGGGAGCCCAAGGAGGCCCCTACCCCCCATCTATAGAATAAAGAAAGTCTTTCTAAAGTGGTGGCAGCTAAGCCAAGACCTGAGTTTAAGTAGGAATTAGCTGGAGTAAAGAGGTTGGAATGGAAAGTTTTTCAGACAGAGGGAACTGCAGATGTGAAGGCCCAGAATCCAGGGAGATCTGTTAGAGGAGCTGAAAAACTTTAGAGTGGCTGGAGCATTTGAAGGCTGCAGTAAAGAGTTAGAACTTTATCCCAGGGATATTGGGGAGCCATTAAAGGATTTAACTAGAACAGTGACACAGTTTTGCACTTTTAAAAGGTAAGTCTAGTTGCTGTATGAAGAATGGGTTGAAGGAGGCCAGGGTAGAAGCAGGAGAGCCATGTGAAGGCTACTGCAGTAATTCAAGCAAATATGAAGGTGGCTTGGGCTATAGGGTCACTATGAGATAGAATTGACTCAACAGTAATGGGTTTGGTTTTTGGGCTAAGGGGGTGGCAGTGGAGAGGGACAGGAAGTTTTGAGCTCCTTGGGATTTAGCACTGGAGGTGGGCAACAAGAGCACATATGACCAGGAGGGGATCACATGTAGAGGTGACTTTATGTGTCTGGGATCTGGGAAACACAATTGCCTTAGGCTGGGTTCTCTAAAGAAGCAAAACTAGTGAAACGTATATAGAGAGAGATTTATATTAAGGAAATGGCTAACACAGTTGTAGAGGCTAGGAAGTCCCAAGTCCCTGGATCAAGCTGGAGGCTTCTCCTGACTCACATAGCTGCTGGGGCTGGTGAACCCAAGATTGTCAGGTCAGATAGCAAGCCTCTGGCTCACAGGCTGTGATGACTGACAAATTCCAAGATCGGCAGGTAAGCTGCTAGCTTAAGTCCCAAGAACCAGAGGTCAGATGAACAGGAGCCAGCTTCAGGATCCAGAGTGAGCAAATTCCACAAGCTTTGCCAGAAAGTCCACCTATACTGGATGCAGGCCACACTCCCAAGGAAACTCCCTTTCAGCTGATTGGCTACTCATAACAGATCTCATCATGGAGATGACTGCTTCATATCAGATCTCATTATGGAGGTGATTACATCATTACATAGCTGCCAAACTGCATCATAGCTGCCAAACCACTGAGAATCATGGCCCAGCCAAGTTGACAGACAACCTTAACCATCACAGCAAGCAAGAAGAAATCAGCAACATTTATTGCATTTATGCTAGGCATGTTAGCACACATGAGCTCATTTTCTTTTCCGAATACTCTTGTGAGGTATCACTTTTGTTACCATCATCTACAGAAGGGAAAACTGAAGCTCAGAGAGGGGAAGTGACTTCCCCAAGGTCACACAGCAACAGAGCTAAGATAAGAACTCAGAACAAGGTGATCCTAGGACCTGAGATTTTTTTTTTACTACTAGGGCTGCCCCTGGTTGAGGGACAACTGAGTGGGTTCAGGACCAACTGAGGAAAAATTTAACTCTCTGGGGATATGGGCCATGAATATCTGTTGCCTCTCTCTATGCCCTCTTGAATGTCTTTCCTTGTCCAGTGAGTCCCGCTGACTCTTTAGGACGCATCTCACTACTCCAGCCAAAATCACCTGCTCCCACATCAGCTCCCATAGTTTTTGCTCAGTAGGTTGCATTTTTTGTTAAGCCAGGTCTAGGACCATCTGTGATAGAATCACCCAGGTGTTTGTTAAAAACACAGATATCTGGGCCCCACCCTTACCCAAATCAGTCATTCTCCAGAGTTGGGCCTGGGAATTTGTATTTTAATTTGAAAGGCTGACTACATTCAGAAATCAAACAATGTAAAAT